GCTTTTTATTATTTTTTTAAAATAAAAAAGCCGCCGCTATATTTTCCTTATTTTAGCCCGGCTAAAGCAATACTTTTAAATCGCTTAAAATTTTATTTTATTATAGCGTTAGCTTATACCGCGGCCTTTTTTCGTTTTATAAGCTTTATATTTTTTATAAATATAAAAGCAGCTTATTTATAAATATCCGGTAGCGCATTTACGCTTTTTTAGCTATAATCGGCTAAAATAAAATATACCTTTTAATTTCCGTATTACGCGTTATTTCGAAAAAAGTGGTAACGCCGGCTTTAAAGCTATATATTTGCTTTTACGCTTTATTTATTATTTTCGTATAGCTATTTTAAAATGCCTAAAATACCGTTTTTTTAGCCGCGGCAACTATAATATATTACGTAAGCGCTTTAGGCCCTTTTCGCTTTTAAAATTTATTAAATATTGCGTTTAGCTTATTTTCCGTATTTATAGGTTCGGCTTTAGTTTTTCGTTTACGTTATAAATCGCCCGGCTAGCCGATTTATTTAATAATACGCTTTTTTAGCTAAAGGTATATAATTAGGTATTAGGCGACGATTAAAATAGGGATGCTTTAATAATTAGTATTTTATATAGCGTCCTCGGCGGCTTTTTTTTTACCTCCGCCTCCTTTTTTTTTTTTTTGCTATTATTATTATAATACGTCGGCTAGGTTTAGATCCGAATCGCTATATATAAAATCTAGTATTTCGATATTTTAAAATCGCTTAAATAATAATCCGTCGTATTCGCCGTTTTGCCCTTTTACTTATACCTTTATTATTAAAATAGCATTTCTAAAAATTTCGAAATATCGGCTAGCTTTTTATTTTAAAAAAAACCTTTAATATCGAACGCCCTCCTTTTACGGAACGGCTGCCACCTTTATATACTTTTTTTACCCTCTTTATTTCCGGCTATTTACCCACCCGTATTTTTATCTATAATATTTTTGTATTCTTTTAACGCAACGTATAATATATATATAATTATCGCAAATTATACTATTTATATAAAATAAGCCGAAATCCAAAATCGGCCCGTATATCGGCTTTAAAAAGGCAAAATCGTCGAGCTGGCTTTATATATAAATAATACCGTATAATACTCGCACGGCACTTCCGATAAATCCACGTCTGCTAATCGGGACGCTTTTATATTAATTTTTAAATAAATACCGCTCGATCTCGTTATTTATATAGGTATAGCGGCATTAGCTATAAATTATAATACGGAAATCGGGCAAATAAATAAAAAAATAAATAGGTAATATTATTTTTTTACGATAAAAAACCAAAATAAAATAATATATATATAAATAAATATATAAAAAATAATTATATAAACCCCGTATTTAAAGCGTCCGCAGCCGCCTTTGGTTTTACTTTTTTTTTTCGCGTTTTTTCTTTCCTTTTTCCCCTTAATATCTTTTAAAGTCAAAGCAAAGGAAACGGGGGATAAAGGAGGGGGGGAGGAAAAAAAAAAAGAAAAAAAAAAGGAAAAAATAAAAATAAACGGAATATAAATAAAAAATAAATAAATAAAAGCAAAACATAGCAAAAAAAAAAAGCGAAAAAAAGCAAAAAAAAGCGAGCTTATATAATAATAAACCTATTTTATCGGCCCATTTTTTCTTTTTCTTTCGTTTACTTTTCGCGACCCGCCTAGCCCGCGGCCGGAAAAAACGTCGTGGTAATAATAATAATAAATAATAATAATAATTTAATCCGATAAAATAAATATAACCTTTTATTAGGATAAAAATAATTAAATTAAATTAAATCCGTTTAATAATTAAACGAATTTAACGGAAATATATAAAATTCCCTAGGCTATAGCCCCGCCCCCCGCAGCTATTGCCAATTAGCGGACCCCGGCTAGCTACCCGCGGGCGCGGGGGACAGCCTCGCCGGCAACGAAACGGCTATAGCGGCTGCGGCGCCCGTCGGATCGCGATAAAAAGCAAACCGTTAAAACCGCGCTAATCGGGAGGCTTAAACGTTAAATTTTTGCTCCCCGATCGGGTCCGTTTTTATAAAATTCTAGCGGGATTAATATTAAACGAATTTTACGTTTCCGACCGAACGAACTTTACCCCCGGTCTTTTTAATAAAGCTAAAAGGGCCTATATAAATCGGACGAGCTTTACGTAGGGTTCCTTCGGATTAAAAGGATAAAATATAAAAAAATTCGTTTTAATTTATTATAAACGGAGAAAGCTATTTTCCGGGAAAAGGTGACCCGTTATAAAATAAAGAACCTACCCTGTAAAAAATGGAAAATTCCGTTTTTATAAAAAGGATAAGGGAATTTACCTTATAACGGATTTTCCTTATTTTCTTTAAAAACCTTCCTTTTTAAAAGCGTAAAAAGGGCTTAAAATACTCGTATTTTAAACCTTTTGCCTTTGGCCGGCGGTTATAAAAAAAGGAAAAAAAAATTCTTCCAAAAATATAAACGTTAAAAATATTTATAATAAAAAGTATATAAATATAAAAACGAAAACTTTTTAAGGGTTATAAAAATATATATTAAGAAAAACCGAAAAATAAATTTAAAAAATAAAAGCTATTTAAATTTTTCGAATAAAAATAACGAATATATTTATAATTATATAAAAAAAATAACGATATAAAATTATATATTATTATTTATTTTATTTCGCGTTTCGGGCTTCGGTTATATAAAATTAAACGCAAAATTAGCTGATTTTTAATTAAGATTTATAAATTTTTCGGCGGTTAAAAAACTGCCGGTATAAATTAATAAAGTATTAATAAATAAAATATAGCAGTTTAAGCTATAAAAATAATAACGAACTATTAAATCGGCGTAAAAATTAGCCTTAAGCCGCCGGTGCCCAGGGTAAAAATTACGCCGCTTTACGTTTTTTTTATTATTAAGCTATTTTTTAGATTATAAATCACGGATTTCGGGTTTTTAACTTAATAGCGAATAATACGTATTTTTTCGACGTAAAAAAAATTATATTAATATAATTATTTCGCCTTCGTAAAGTTTTTAAAAAGCTAAAGGCGAAACTGGTTTTATATACGCTATATAAAGCCAGTCGGACTCCTTTTTGCTTTTTTAAATCACGCACTTCTCCTCCGGTGCTTCGCACCGTCGTTTTAACCTTAAGTTTAAAGCCTTTTCGAATAGGATCCAAACACCTTTGAGATGCATCGGGCCAATTATAACGACGTGTCTAACCTTCTCATCCTTCAAAATACCATCTCGCCTGCCTCTCGTCATACTAGCAACGTTGAGTAGCTTGGTACCATTGATCATGTGGTTGTCCTCCCTCCTAGCAACGAGGATGCCCCTGGCCTCGACCTGGAAGCATAAGCTGCCTTCATCTTCCCAAAAAGTCGCTGTCACCCGGGGTTTCATGCCCGGTGGCGCTATCTAACCAGTCGTATCCATGCCGGTAAGATAACTTTGTGCCATTTCTAGCTGGTGCATGCCGGGAGGCGGGAGCACAGTTGAATCTATGGAACCCGACACAGGAGGGACCGACTGGGAGGACGTTAAGCCATGGCTATAGCCATACACTGAGTAAGCATGTCGCTGTGCATCGTATTCTTTGGAAGGAGATAATGCGTGTGGTAGGTGATCCACGTGCTTCTCGGTAGTTTTATCTTCAGCAACTGCAGTAGCCATCGCCGTCTTTGCTCCTTTGTTTGCTGATGAGATGCAATGGGTTCGGCTGCGACTATCTCAAGCAACTGTTACAAGCTTGCTCCGTGTTTGGAATTTTGAGCGGCTGCTTAGCAGGTACATGTGTATTTCAAAGTCAGATAGTCTTCATTCATGAAATGAGTTTGGCTACCCGCCAAGTCCCGCAAAGCATGATGTGCGCAATTGCGCACTGCCGCATGACAAGGATTAAAACTTGCGAATCATATTGCGAAGGGCAGCCTCATGCGGGGACAGCTGGCAAGGCATACTTATCGGCATCTGGCAGTTTGCACCGCGCACCATTCTCGATTTATCTTACCCCCCCCCCCCCCCCCCCATCTGAAGCGTTCGAACAGTAAGCACTGGACAAAGACTCGGTGATGGTAGCCTTGAACATGGCAAAACATGAAGCTGTTGTAGACGACTGTTTGAGCGAAAGAGTCGTTTGGCACGACGTGCATATGTACGTTGAACGTCTTGGTCCAGTATGTCGCTGAACTTGCATTTGCAAAGCGCCAAGTTCTCCACGAGTGAAAGGTTCGTTGATTGACATTATCGAACCACGTCAGTGTCAACAGAGAATTGGGATTCCATAATGACTCACCTTGCTGCAGGAATTCTGTATATGTAGAATCCTGCAAGAAGCGCGCGCAGAGCATGCCAATGTAGAAAATGTTAGTAGCATCGTATTATAGTAGGAAAGTTTTAGCGTTCCGTGCCTAGCAGCCTTGTGCAAACTTGTTGGATTACCTAAAGCGGTAATTCTCACAGTGGAAACTAGTACTAGGTTTCAGCACCCGGGACCAACACGGTATTAGCTGCAGTGCGAAAGATTACCTTGGTTTTAGAGGGCCAAATATAGTCCAGCACACGATTTGTATTACACAAATTGTGGCGACGGCCCAACAAACACACAAGGTAGGTCGGATATTGAAACGGACAAATATAAACATGTCCAATCACTCAATTTGCCAGCATGGTCCCCGGTCTGCGAGAGGAATAGACCACTGGGAGTTTGACATCACACTGCTGTCTTTTCACGAGAAACCAAACGCTATAAGGCCTGCTAATGGCGAGTTTGTTGTATGCCTGTGGTCCAGACTCGGCGTGCAGTCGGGACGCGTTTGGGAGCGTAAAGGCAGTCTGTGCAACAAAATCTCGTTTGGGCGGTATGGCAGGTCGGTCATTAACAGATTTTACAAGGTACAACATGGATCAAGTAGTATGACAATTAACCATGGCATGAAAAATGCCCAAACCAAATATTGATTCTGCATGTCCAGAATGTATTGTCATCTAGGTACTCAACCCAGCAAACTCACCATTGGTTCTGGCCAATTTCCCCATACCAACGGCCGATCACCGAGTCTTGCATTGACAGGAGACAAGACCTTGAGACGCTTCTTCTTTTCGTCGACATCTGTGATATACACGAAACCCATGACATTGGCATCGCGGATGGCGTCTGGGTGGTCGCGTGGACTTGCGTACATGATGGCCAGGGTGCAGTTGAGCATCATCAAAGAAGGTTCCACCTTTTCAAGTGTAGATGTCGATGCAAGAGGATCGTAAAAGTCCTCGGTTCCCGCGTTTTGGTCGGCTATCAAGTCAGCATCACGTAGGAAACAGCAAGAAGCAATAAACACACCTTCGACAACCTTCCACAATGATATACCCTCGAATCCAATATTTTGGGTTGCAGGACTCAAGGTTCTTTTCAAATCTCCAAAAAAGTACTCCTTGATGACCTTTTCCCTGTGTTGCTGCATATAACTTGGGTCCCGCTCGACAATGCCGCCACTCTTTTCCAGGCCAACGACAATCACGTCTTCGCCAAGACTGTTTTTTTGGCCGCCAAAAACCTTGGCCAAATCGCCAGCAATACGCTCTGAGCCGAGCGAGACGATTACATTTACCGAGAATTCCGCGGCAATATGCGAAATCATGTCGTAATTTGGTTCCGAGGCATCGACAGCTCCCGTATCAATGAGCATGCCAGAACTCCTAACCTCTGGATCCTCTGATAGACGGTTTGTGGATGCGGCCGCGAGTCGACTGAGCAGGCCTCTGAATAGCTTGGGATTGCCCCGAGGCCTTTCGAAACCATAGTAATAGGTCAGCGGAAGCTTGACAGGTATCCCTGCTGGACCCGAGCTGGGTGTTCCGCCCCAGTCGGTGGTCATGTCCATCAATGTCGCAAAGACGGCAGCAGTCAATGTGCCTGGCATGCTGAGCATCCCCTGAGATGCATCAGTGTTGATGACAAGAGGTTGCTTGCCCATGCGTGTCGCCCATCCTGTAAGCATCTTGACCAAACTCGTCTTGCCGCTGTTGGGCGGTCCGACCACTAGAACTCGTGGGCCCATGGCATCACTGCTCTTTCCCGCGACCGTCGCTGCCCGCAATCCCTGGAGCTTCATGTGGAGATTGAGGTAGGAAACAAGTGGTGTGTCTTCAGCTGTGAGCTCGGCGACATGGGCGTCGTAAGAACCCGCATTCTCGGTGCTGACCTCGAGTTCGCAGCCTTGCCATGTGTTGATCTTGGATTTGGTGCCCGAAAACGTATACGTCACATTGGGTGCGAGCTCGGTACCCTCCTTTTCGGCAAGCCCCGATACCAGACGTATGTTGAGCGAGGACGAGAATGGGACTTGGAATCGATACTCCCAAAATGGCTGGAGAGAAATGTTGGCCAATGTCGATGCCGAGGCTGAAGTGGTGGAAGCTGCTGGCGCTGCCTAATGTCCCTTGAATTAGCCATGCGTTTTCAGTCCTAGTGGGCAAACAATTGTGTTGCTACTTGCCGCCGCAGAAATGAAACCCAGACCTGGAATCGACATGTTCAGGTCACCTCATTGCGTTGGGCGTGCCGTGTTGCTGTCTGGGGAAATGTTGCAGGTGGCTTTCGTAGCCTTGCAGCCAGCAATGGCGGGGCAATGCAAGGCTGGAATTGGGTACGTGGATCGCGCACTGTCTCTTTCTATGCTTGCAACATCCTACGCGAGTGATGAGGACCAAGTTGTAAAAGGACACGCTCGGTATGCACAAGGCAATCTGAATATGAATGAGATTGGATCATGCCAAGGTAAGCCCGGCGCGTGGAATGCCGATTCTTAGGTGACCTCCATAGTGGAGCCGGGGAACATGCACATATGAGCTGACGTGCCGAGCATTGCCAAAACCTAAAATGGCAACATGCATCACAATACATACTGCTTGGGAAGAAAAAAAAAAAAGTGTCATTATAATCGTAAAAAACTCCAAAACTACCAAAACTCCCTCGCAATCCACCAAGGTAGCTCTCTATATCTAACGAGCACCAACACTTGGCAGACAATGGAGTCTCCCGTGTTGCCTCGATGCAAATCATCATCAACCATGCTACCAGTTTTTTCTTCTCTTGTTGCAGTTCCCTAATGCTTTCAAGAAGATGCTATGATGAGTACGCAGAGGCTGGGTATCTTATGACATGCCCGAATCTATTCTTCCATGCTTGTCGACATTCATGACTGATGACTGATTTCTTCGCGCAGCGAATATCTTTGTAGCAGTCCATTGTGTAGTATCACCGTCCCTTGTGGATTTATTGTGTCATCTTTTCAAAAAGTTGGACCAAACTCCGTACGCCGAGGAGAACATTTTCATCTGGGCCTTGTCCAGGAACCCACTTTGCATGTGCAAAGTCAATGAGCTTTAGGCTGTAGATGGAAGGCTCGCTCGAAAAGTCTTCCGACTCGAATGAAATCTCGGAGCCGTCTTCATCGCCAACCACTTCCGACACGGTCGCTGTAAAGACAGCTTGTCCGTCATCGTCCATGCCGATCCCACTATCGACACGAAGATTAGCGCATGGCACAGAGGGCGAGGCTTTGTGTACTGACGCTCGCTCGCTTCTGCGTGTTTCTCTTTCCTGAACCAGGGCCGTCTTTTCCTCCATGGCGGCTCTGAGAGCCTTGCCATCGCCTTCAAACACAAACAGCAGGCTAGAAGAGTACATGCGACTCTCGTGGGATTCCAGTACTTCTTGCACCCTTTGCAAATCGGCCAGGAATGCTTGGGCTACAAGCTTGCCAAGTTCCTCGTCAATGCCTGCCCTCTTGTTGAAAATGAAATGGGCCTTGAGCATGTCGAGCACGTTTTCCTCCGTGACGGTATCCCGGCCCCAGTACTTGTCGTAAACCTTGAAGCCTTCCTCGTCCAGCTCTGTTGGGTCTGCAGACCCCTTGTAGACGCGCATGCCAGCGACTCGGAATCCGTACTTTTTGTGAGTAGTCGAGTTTGCAATCTCGTCAAAGCGCTCCCGCTTCTGAAGCGGGGCATCATCTGCCCACAGTCGCAGTCCCAGCTTGGCGTCCATGATGTTGGGTTTCTTGAAGCCAAAGCTCGAATTGTGCAGCACAACAGCGCGGTCTGTCGTGATTTTTCGGCTCTTGTTGGGCACCCATGTCACGCCATCGGTAGCGGCGCGCTGAAGCTCGGGGATGACGGGGGCCGTGGATCTTTGATCGAGGTGCAAATGCGACTGGACTTCCTCCTTGATGGCAGCAGGTACGTCTGCATTCTCGACAATGGCGGGAATCGCGTCATGTATCATTTGGTCCGTGGTATTTTCAGTCAGCGAGAGGCTACCATAGTAGAGCGGCATGAGGTCGGCAAAGTCTGGATGCAGCTCATGGGCGGACTCGTAAAAGTTAATCTCGGACTTGGTGCAGGGCTTGATGAACAACTCGCCGTCGGCGTCGCACAATGTACCAGCACTGCGTCGCAAAGTCAGTCATGGCGGGCAGCGGGGGCGCATCCTCAAAGGCATCGACTTACTGTCCAGCGACGGCGTAGTTGTAGTCGACGAGTTCTGAGCGCTTGGGCATCTCGCGGTCGCCGCTCAATGCGCGCTTCATCTGGGGAAAGGTTGCGGCAGTGGCCAGCAGGCCAGGAGAAGGTTCGCCGTTCATGATTTCGGCAGTAAGTAACAAGGCCGAGTAAAGTTTGTGGAAAATGTTCAACAATGTCTCATGTCTGAAATTCCGTCTAGTTTAAGCCTTGGGCGATTGTCGACACAGGGCTGGCTGTGTAGTGCAGTGCAACTGAGGGCTGAACCAAGGTCACAGTCTAGGCGCGGCGAGGGTAGAAAGACCAGCCAAGTAGTCGTCGATTGGTCGCCCGGAAAATGGCCGTCCCAGTGAACCAACAAAGGGTTTGGAAAATAAGGAGAGTGGTTTGTTTCTTGTCGAGAATGTAATTAAAATAGATGTGGAATCTGGGCAAAGAGGGAGGGAGAGAAATAAAGAGAAAAGGAGGGGATTTGAGTTGGCAAGAAACGACTTGAAGTGAATGAATGACGGTTCGGATATGTACAGTAAAGTGCGAGGTAGGTTTGAAGGAGGCGAAGCCCAGCAAATCTAGATTAAAGAAAAGAGAGACAGAGGCAGCGAGAGAGAGCCGAAAGGATCATGGTGCAGTAACGACGTATTGCCCTGCTTGGAGACTAGCACTAGAGGGACGTCCCTAGAGGTACCTAGAACAGGGGAATGGAACTCGGCCCTGGCACTAAAATCGAGGACAGCCCATTTCTCATGAGCGTCTCGATCAAATCTCCGCATCGTAGCTCTATATTCACATACTTGACATGCGCATCTCTAAACTTTGCACTCGATACAGAACCCCGACGCTTTTCTGGCCTCATGTATGCACATGGACCACGGTGTCGCCGGTGCTCTGGCTCAGAGGACATTAATCAGCTTGTCATGTTTGTCGCATCATCAGACGCAGCGTGCAGCACCCAAAAGTGACTGCAGCGCATCCGGCATTTTACGGGTTACATATAGTGCGCCTTGTCCGCTTGCAACTCAGCTGACGGACCGCAGCATCCAATGCAGAGCCGTCACCAAAGACAAAAAGACCACCAACTTGATAAAACACCATTACGCACAAACGGTTTGCATATTCTGCATATCCAATAAGAGCGTTTGCCAAGGATCACACTGGGGTGGCTTTGGGCTGGCTGTGTTGCTCTACGCGGTAATGCGGCGGGCAGGCACCCGACAGCTTGCCCAACTACGCGCTAAGCCACTGTAAATCAATCTGGCCGCATGCATACATCAATGAGAGGTAGGTCATGTACAAACTACCTCGACCTCGCGCTGGACGGCGACTAGCACTTTTGGATAATTACAGAATCACAAACAACAGACATGTCAGCTACTAATAAAAACACAAAAATGACAGTCACTTGCCAAAATCTAATTTGTGAGAAATTGTCAGTGCTGAGCAACGTTGCAGTCGAGTTTGGGATTGACTTTTCCATGTTTGCCTCATCCACAATGATCCAATCAACTTTTGTGGCCACGTTATTAGCCATGAAGATCATATGCTGTGTTTTTTTATTAGTAAATGGACATTGATGCAATCAAGCCAAGCCCCCTTTTCATGTCCGCCATGGCTTTGAGTATGTATAGGCGCCAGCCAATGAAAAAGTGTCCCGTGCACTGCCACTCCAGCGCATGCGAGTATACGCATCCTTGAATAATGTATCAAGACATTATTGTATAGTTGTCGATTGATCCCGCTTTCAGTCATGCAACACAATTCATTCCGAATTACTTGTTAGAGTGAATCGGCAAAGAGTCCAAAATGGAGCTCAGTATCCATACCCACAGATGTTGGTCCGTTGTGTGTTGGCTCGAATTGTCTCGTCTCTTTTAAAAATGGTCTGCTGAATTCCAAATTTGTCTTCAAGATGGTCAACCGCGTGTGAAAGAACAAATACAAACGTTTTCTTTGGAAACGTGCAACGTAGCTCGCAATTATTTCAACCTCGTAATGTCGGGGCAGACTGCAGTAAAAGTATTGGTTTAGAGCATCTTTTTCGTGATTCTAAAACAAGAAAATGAGTGCAAATAATCCCATCTGTTCAACAATCACTGCATGAGTTTTGGGTGCATTCCAGAAATCATTTGCGGTGATTGATACTGCCGCAAAAACAAAAGGCAGGAGCAGAGGCAACTGGAAATCTGGTTGGCTAGCCACGCCGTTTGCTTTCCAACTACAACAGCAACTTATTTTGTTTGACGTTGCCTTTTGACAACAAATTTCAAATCTACCTCGGAAACTTTTCAAATGTTCTTGTGGCATTAGTTGGTCAATTCAATCTCTCTTTGACCACTTTTCCGTCTTCATTTCTGGCAGTTGCCGTCAATCCATCAAGCACATCCTACTCAGACCTCCGTCACAGCAGTCGCGAATCACAACTTTGCATTGCGCATCACCCATCATGGAATCTGTCAAGGCCATGGATTCTGCAGATGATGCTGTCAATGAGCCTCAGGACGGGGTCGACCATTCAGTTGACGGTCCGGCCGACGATTCAGTCGACGCAGCATCCGAGGAGCCAACCGAGGCTTTGGAGTTTGCCAAGAAGAAAAAGAAGCGCAAGAGCAGGCCCGGCAAGACTCGTCGTGCGATTACTGGATTTGAAGGTATGCTGTCTATGCGACTCTCGCGCCTCCCAGTCGAAAGTGGAAGCTGACATGACAGAATTCTACGCGGACCCCCCGACAACTCCTGCAGAGTACGCAGAGGAAAAGAATCTCTACTCGGCCGACAAGCCCATTGCTCAACGCCTCGAGGAAGCCATCCAGCGCTACCGTCAGAAGCGCCGATTCGACAATCAGAAATCTTTCATGTTTGACAAGTACCTGGCTTTGGGTGGCATTGATTCTTCCCAGCGAATGTTCCAGGGTCTCGACGCGGCCGACGCCAAGGACATGAATGCCGAAGAGATTAGACAAATGACTTCGCGATATGCAGTCCAGAGGGGCTTTGCAGGCTCCAAGTTTTACGATCCCGATGAGCCTGGTGACTGGAGAGTCGACTTTCCCATCATTGTCAAGGGCTTTCTGTATGTCTTGATGTCTCATTATTCTGCCTTTGCGCTTGTACTGATGCTTTCCAGGTCTCGTTGGATCCCCGAGAACTACCCTTGCAATTCCGACCCCCACGATGACAATGTTCAGGCTGCAGCTCTGATTGCCAACTTTCTCAACTACTTGCAGCTACATGACGTCTGTCCCGAATACAAGGCTCAGCTTGTGACTGCCAAGGCCATTTGCGAAGTGGCACCTGTTTCTCTAGGCCATGCCCGAGATCTCTTTCAAGAGCTCAAGGGTGTCTTTAACACCATTGCCGAGTCCCTCTATTGCGACGGCGGTGTTTTCGAGGTTTACACCTCCCCTGTCGACGACAATGAGAGCTTGCCCGAGCAACCTGGTGCACAGCATGTCAAGTTGAATTCCTACAACCAGTTTCTCATCTTGCGGCTGTCAATCATGGCTGCCTCCAATGACTTGAAGCATCCCATTGTTGATTTGGACCCTCAAGACGTGCGCGTTGAGAGCACCTTTGTCGAAACCTACCAGGTCGTGTCCATCAAGCGACGCACCAAGAGGGAGATGAACATGTGGGATAAGCAGTTGGCCCAATCTGATTTCAAAGACAAGGTTCAAGCCATGGGAAGCATGGTCCTACGTCCCAGCGTCATTGATCACGCATACAGCAACGCCCTACGTCCTGGTCGGGTTGATTTCAGCAAGGCACCCACAGAGACCTTTATCGTCGACAATGACATTCTCGAAAAGGTCGAGTTGGGAATGAAGATGCGGTTGCAAGTCTGCAGACTGAATATTGGAACCGTATTCATCAAAAACGTCATTGATGTTCGCGTCGGCTTTGACGTTTTATTGCCGCAGAGTCTGATGCTCAACTGGAAGGATCCTAGTCCAAATGACAGGCCTGCCCCGTCCATTCACGACATTGATCAGAACAATGGCCATGAGCAGACTGGCACGAATGAAGACGATCTATGATTTGATGGTTTTTGAACCTGGCTGTGTTTTAGACAGATGGAGCCCGCGCAGTCATGCAATCTGTGTGGCAATGGATTTGGGCATGCAGATGAACATGTACAATAGGTACAAATGAATATTCTCGCGTTTTCAGTTACACGACCTTTTCGACTCCGATATCAGGAGCATTCGGTTGATGAGTGGTTGCACACTGGTCCCGAGTTGTTTTTGCCTTTAATGCCAAATCACTCCCAGTTGTCTCATTTGTAGAATCGAGACTTTGTGTCCCACAACACTGGAGATTTGCCCTTTCGTCCTGATCTCCACCTTGATCAGGACGGTCAAATCGATTAAAAGCAATAAATGTCCCTTGTTCTGTGCTAATGGCGTTGATGGGTGTCGCAACATGGGCACTCTTGCGGCGGACTTGTTCGGCATCATTCGTGACAGGTTGGACATTGAATCGCACGTAAATCATGTTCAATGCTGGAATGGACAAACCGTGTACCAGAATCGAGAACAAGGCCAAAAAGTACACAACTGAGACATTATCAGCACAAGCAAATAAAACATGTACGGGGGAACCGACTGGGAGTAAGAGAGAGTAATAATTGCTCCTCTTTTGAGCTAATTTTCCCCCGGGACAGCAGCAGCAGTTGAGTATGCTCGAGATAATAAATGGCTCCAACACCGATTGGACCAAAGTATCCCATGAATATGGCTTCTTTCCAGTTCTTGACGACTGCAGGCATGAATTTATAACACATGAGCAGTGCTGGTATTCTCCGGAAAATCAATACCATGCAACCCAAACACAGGAGCCTGGCCCAAGTTATTCCGGTCACCTCGGGTTGGTGAAATTGATCCCAAGGCAAAGTCACACCAATAAACATGAAGCCTCCATAGTTTAGCAAAACATCGACACAATTGTTGACTTGATCGTGTCGACGTTTTGCTTCAGCGTGGAAACGGCCATTCCAGTTTACCGTGCAGCCTGCAATAAAGCATGCGAGCAAGTCACTCGTGCCTATTGCGCCACAAGTTCCGACCACAAAGAGCTGCAGATCAGTCAGTCTCAATGCAAGTATTTTCGACGGGTATACTCACACCCAAGGCCGTGGGAAATAGTAAATAACTCTCTGAATCTATCCATTTCCGCGACAGTGAGAATCCGACTGCCCTTTGGGCACAATATCCAACAATAAATCCGTAGCCGACAGAAAGGAAGACCGTGTATAGAAGCGCTTCAATGATCCAAAACTTGATGACTCCGCCAAAAGTTGCCAAGGTGCCCGCCGTGTCATTGGATTTGTCGGACTGGAAAATAATTCCAATGCCCAACATGAGAAAGGGTGAGGCAAAGCCATCATTTGCACCGGCTTCTGCAGATATTATCTCTCTCAGAGGTCGCACAACAAACTTGTCGGAAAATGCTCCCTTGGCAACTGCTTGAGAGAGCACAGGATCGGTTGATGTGACACATGCGGCGGCAACAAGGGCCAATGTGAATGGCATCCGAGGAATTATCGCCATGACGCATGCTGTTGTTGAAAGCCACATGATGGTCATGACGGGCACTAGACATGTAGTAATCTCCTTGAATCGTGTTTGCAGGTATCGTTTGGGAAGTTGATAACCTGCGAGAACACTACAACCATTGTAATCAGCAGATTGCTACTAGTAGACTGACCCAAGGACTTACAGCTGAATTCCAATCATTAATCGCATCACACCCAGTGTTGCCTTTGCTTGCTGACTCTTGTCTACCCATCTATCCATGTCCAAGAATTTAGAGCCGATAGGGCCCAAGACTATGCCCGTTGCAACGGCTGGTACTGTGAAAAGGTCAGCTCGAACACATGAACTTGTAAAAATGTCATACATGCTTCTCCCAGGTACCAGACATCCTTGATCTTGAATGATGTGAGCCCGAAAAGTATCGTAAACAATCCTGTTTCGATTAGTCGTGATCAATTGGTTGCAGCTGTGGCAGGCTGACGCATACCTAGCACCGTGGCTATTATGTTCAATTCACTGACATCTGTGGTGGGCATATCACCTGGATTTACAACTCGGTTCAGCACGATATTGAAGTGTATGGAGTAATGAGAAATCGTTGGAATGGATCCAGAAATTCTGTGGCAAGATGGTGCCGTTTTTCCGCGACTTGCTGCCGGGATCAAGGGCAAACATGATATCCAGGGCATGGTGCCGTCATTCGCCAAGAGTGAGGCAATCTCGATGAGTATGGCAGGGAACACAAATTCGTGTCAAGGTCATATTACTTGGCCTTGTCTGCCCAAATCCACGTCGTGTGCTACGCATATGCCATACAAGGTAGTCACCCGCAACATAGTTCCGTGGACAAGAAAATACTAGGTAATGATTGGTACCTTGACATTTCACCAAGTGACCTTGGGTATCGTGTAGCCGTAATCTATTCCGCGACATCCTCCTCCTCTTGAAGTGAATGGGCGAGGCCAGCAGCTGCCAACCCGCCCATCATGATGGACGGTGGGACGGCCTTGATCAAAGTCGCACAGTCGCCCACAGCAAATACACCAGGAATGCTTGTGCTGTTGAAAGGAGCATTGGTTTCAACATGGCCTTGAGGTGCTAGACCGAGTCCCAGCTGTTGTGCAAATGGAGCGGTTTGTACTGTGGCTGGTGCGTGAGCAACGAATGCCTCCTTGTTCACCGTCCCGTCATCTAGTACCACGAGCACACCTGCACTCCCGCCCACCGAGGGATCCTTTTCAAACCGAACCACTCTCCGATTCTCAATGTGGAACCGCTTGGTTGACTTGAGCAGCACCCTCACCTCTGCCCCGAAATCTGTATTGCCGTTGGTGTATATCCTGACCTGGCCAGCCAGTCGTGACGCCATGCGTGCCACACCAGAAGAATTCCCGGTATTCATCATGGGTCCACTAGCAAGTAGACCTGCAGAATCATGTCCACGCTCCTCGTATCCGTGGCAGAATAGGCAGTGGAATCTGTAGCGGGTGAGACGAGAAAAGGACAACCACGGCCAAACGGAGGAACCTACATTGCGGTGCCCCAAAGCTCTGCAAAGCCAGGTATATCGGGCATGACATCCTGGACACCAGTGGCAAGAACAAGCCTCTTGCCGACATGGCTGTCGCCATTGGCATCGACGGCTTCGAACTGGCCAGTGTCCAGCTTTCTGACTTGGGATATTTCGACATCTTTGAACTGAATTGTTTCATATCTCGAAAGAATATCTGCTCTGGCCTTGTCGCGGAACTCGGAAGGAGGACGGTGATCCCAGCCCGGTACATTGTGCATGTGTTGTGCTCTCGCATTGCGGTATTGAGAAGAGTTGAATACTATCGCAGTGTGCAATTGACGAGCAAGGCCTCCTGCTACTGCCAAGCCTGCCGGTCCAGCGCCGAGGATCAAGACATCTGTCAGGGAAGAAGTCATTGTAGCTTTTGGAATGGAACATGTGAAAAGATGTTTAAACGCTTGATTGAAATTAAACATGTTATAGATGGCCAGAATAAAAGAGTCTTTGTATACATTATTTCTCTCCGGATTATGGCACCGAAAAGTTTCCGCCCCAGTGTTTTCGGAGACTTCTGGTCACATTTGACATTGCTCAGAGTAGAATCCTGCATGGCAAAAGTGGCCGAGAATAAACCACGTCTGACTGGAGAGATATATTACAAAAGTGAACGGGGCAAATCATTTGCTGACATGGCCCAGTCAAGACGAGCTCAACAAACCGCAACGCAAGAGATAATCAATAGAATTCAATGGTATACTTTTTTACATTTATACAGACAACTTGGGAAAGAATGCTCGCTGTAAACATGGGCAAAAGGATAAAGACAAAAAGGTGAGCTATGCGTACATGGAACGCATATATATACGAATGACAATGAATATACCAAATAAAGGAAATTTTGTCAAAACCTAGGACGCCGCCTCATACTTGCCAGCAACCAGCCTCCGGACAGCAGGGATATCGACCCAGTGTCCCTCACCACCATCACCAGCACCTGTATCAGCAAAGGGATCATCATCGCTCAGCTCGATTTCTTTTCCTTTGCTTTCTTCAAGCTTTGAAATGCTTATGGCGTCCGCTGCTTGACCAGAGGGGGTCAATTCCCATCGTGCCTCTACAATGCCGGGCTTGGGCTCGACGCCAGCCTCGCCGACAATGCGGCAGACAATCTTTTGCCAGTCTTGCGACGCATCAAGTGTAACGTCGCCTAGACGCCAGTATACTAAATGCTTGTCTTTCAAGTGGGTGCCGGAAGGCTTTGTCTGGGCACCTGATGCTTTGCCGTCATACGTAGCGAGCAAGACAAGGTTGCGGAGGGTGATGCTGCTGCCAAATTTGAATACAGGGTTAATCTTGTATTGAAGCAAGAGTCCGAGTTTGTCGCCTTGTGGTTTCCATGCAGGCTTGAGCAAGAATGGAACGTGGTCAATGGGTGGCGATGCAGCATCCACATGGAGGCGGTACGAGAAACCAACCGTGGCTTGGCTCTGACGAAGGTGGGAAAGGTCGAGATTAAACTGATCCGGCTGTTCTGGGGTATGGTTTGCCACAAATATCCGGTTGGGTCCAATCACCTCCAGGGCAGCAAAATTATTGACACGTATTGATTGATGAGCTGCTAAGGTGAGACCTTGTGATGAAAAGGGGAGATTTGAAGACTTACTTTGATGTGATGCCGCGTCAGTTGAATTGAATGAAAAGGCGATTTCTCCGCTGACCTTGACAGTCTTGGCCTCTCCATCCTCAAAGGTGGCCGAGACGGTTTCAATCAGGGACGAGTTGAGGCCAGGCTCGTGCATGTCGGGATGCTTGAATTGCACGACGCTGTTGAGCGAGTTTGACGACCGAATGGATTGCGTGTCGGAAGCGCCCGTCGCACTAGGCTCAGACGTCAGGGCCGCAACAGTGGATGGTCGCGAAAGAGACGAGGCCGTATTCAATGTCGGCAATGAGCTACTCTCGGAGACGGGCGCGGGAATGTAAATGGTGTTTCTAACATCACGACGTCCGCGTACTGTGCCAGCCCTCTTGGTCGGCATACCAAGCGCGGAGAGGCTGTTGGAAAATTTCGACAAGGCCGCCTGTCTCTCTTCAGGATCTTCATCGGCAACCGGCTCCTTTTGAATGTTGAGCCTGAATGCTGGCTCGCCCTCTTCTGGAATCGTCTCTGCGGCTTCTCTCTGGGCTGCAGAAATGGGGTCATGCGAAAAGGAAGGCACAGTAAAACCTTCGGCATCCTTTTCCGGTTCTCTTTGCGAGGGTGGCGGTCCGGGAGGTGGTGATACACTGCCCAGGTCTCTAGAAGCCGTCCCGTTGAGTTGAGCAAGAGCCTCGTCAGTGGGACTAAAAGTGCTGGCAGGATTATTTGCTCCAATGCCGTTGGTGCCTTCATGACTGGATTTCTCGCGGGTTTCGGACATGCGCAAAGGATCGTCTGCCGAATTGGGGCGCTCGGCCAAGGAGGGCAGCCGGTTGTTGGCCTCGGCCAGGTTGCTCGATGATGCGCGCGGCGAGATATTGCTGTGACTGCTCTTGGCATTCCTTCCAAAGGCCCCCTTTGCCGGAGAAAGCTGGCCAAATCCACCATGAACGCTCTGCCTCCTTCTGCCCAGCATGGTTCCGATGCGGCTCCGCAGCTTGTTCTCGCTGCCCTTTTTCTCCTCTTCGTGAACCGAGTGCTCACTTCGGGCGTCATCCATTGCAGAGGACGACGACGTTGGCGGCGGCGGCATGGATGAGGGAGCGGGCGCGGGGGTGGGTGTGCTGGGGCTCGCCGTCGGTGCGAGAGATGCACTTGCGGTACCGAGGCTCGACGGCGCGCGTGCACTGTTTGGTGGGCGTGCCTGTAGTCTGGGCTTTCCAACAGTTGTCTTTGCCACAAAGGCTTGAATCTCATTGCCGGTATGGTAGTCCAAAAGACTGTTCAGGACGGTCTCGGCTTCGGCTTGCTTTGACTGGGCCTCTTCTCCCTCATACGTGCCGTATTGTGTCATGACATCGCGCAGCTGATTCAACCGAGTTTCGTCTAGAGCCTGCAGCGTCTCGAAAATGAATGGTGCCTGCGATTCCCATTGATTTGTAGCCGCGTCGAGCCTAGAAGCTGCCTGATCAATCTTGGCGGTGCTGGCCTTGCCGGCTTTTTTATTGAGGGCATCAGACTTTTTTTGCGCATCGTCGAGCTCCTTGGCCATGTTTTGGAGGTTGCCTTGAATGGTTTGCATGTTTTGCATCTCCTTTTTTGTGTTGAACGTGCGCAGCGGAGTTTCGACATCCTGTTCAATCTTTGTTGCAAAGAGATGGTGCGACATGGCAATGCCCTCGGCAGACTGGACAATCTTGTCCCATTGTACCTGAAAAGTGCTATCGAGCGACTCACGTCAGTCGTTGTCCAAGCACCTAATCCCGAATGAAAACTCACCCAAGTTCTGATTGTGCATTGGGAACTCGGAATTGAGTCAACTTTCTGAGGCCCTGGACATAGACCTCCTCTACACGGCGTCGTTCCTACGCATCAAGCAGTTAGCTTGCGTTGCCCAAGCTTACAGCATGTCCCGCCATTGCCGAAGATTGCGCATACCTGGAGCCAGTCGGCGATTTCAATGTTGAGCTTGGAGATGCGCTTGACTCGATCGTTGAGGACTTGTACGGCTTGCGACGGCTGGAGGTTGGCCTAGAAATATGACGCAAGAGTCAGTATTCTACTCGTATGATGTAGTCGCGACTCCCAGTTTTGCGACTCTTGGGCTTTAAACCACCTCGATTGATACTCACCAGCATTGCCGGATACTCGACTCGCATTGAATCATCCATGGCGACGGGAGAGGCGGTGTCGAGGACTCAGATTGGGCTCATTCGTTCAAACACGACGCCGGAGATTTGGTTCTGACACGGAGTGTGGGATTTGGGGGGCGGCGGCTTGCAAGAACATGAGAGATGCCAAGGAAGCAAGACATGAAACAAAAGGACAAGATAAACTTTTTTTTCTTCCTCTTTCCTTTACATATCAGTACACAGGGCAGTCCGAGATCCCTTGGCCAATGTTTTTTTTGCCTTGCCTCGAGTTGAGGTGTATGTATCTGTGACGATGGACTGTGACCTAATTGTACAGGTAGGCGCCGCTGCACCCTCGGCGGGCAGCGGATCCCCGACCTTCTTAGCAGCTTCCAGTCCAGCTTCCATCCTTCCAGCAGCCCAGCTTCTGCAGGTGTTTGCTGGTGGGACCTTTTGGCACTGAACCTGGGGGGCTGGGAGTTGTGGGGGGTGAGCGGCACGGATCCTTTAGTGCACCCGTCAACCGTTGCTCTTCTCAGGTCCGCTGGAGCCGTCAAATGAGGTTTGCATTGGGGGTGATTGCGAGGTAGAAGAGTTCAGCCGACTGCCAATTGTTTCGTTTATACGCCAGCTGCAAGTAGTGTGTGTGCGTAGTTTCTGAATGGATTGATTTAATTGCCAATATGAACCATATACTGCTGGTGCCATGTGTATTCGATGCCTAGGTACATATGTACATATCTTGCAAAGACTGACTACCTCGTGGTTTCGAAACAAATTGTCCATTCACCGAGGTCAATCTTGCCTTTTACTCTGAAATCAGTATTTGCAACCGCCAACGAGAATCATTCAGGATTCACGCGGCCGGTAGCTAGCTCCAGGCACCATCTAGAGCACGGCACACTCCTCGGCGCTTCCTCCGAGATTGTCAATTCCCTTGTCCCAAATCGTAGCCTCGGTCTTTGCCCAAGAGCGAGGTGATTTACAACGTGAAAAAGTCTCTCGTTTGAAAATGTCTGGCGAGACGGACTGGAGGTCCAATTTGTCTTCCTTGACCCGGTACGAGAATATTCAGGCATTGTGAGTTGAGATGGAATAATGCCCAGCCCGAATATCAAGAGTTGACCGTCTTGCAGAAAAGCTTCTATTGAGTTGGCCGACCCCTTGCATGCGTCTGCTCAGAAGCAAGCCTTTACCATTGAGAACGAGGCTTACAAAAATTCCAACACTCTTGTAAGCTCTTTTCGTTTCCAATATAAATTACAAAACTAATCTCAAAAGGACGAATACCATGCTGCGTGCCAGTACAATCATCAATCGGAACCTGAATCTCTAGCTACTGAGCAGCACACCGAGTTGATCGAGCCAGCTGTGCCAATCTCTAACATATCCATTGGTCAATATGGAAACTGTTTATATGTGGCAAGTGGAGTGACTGCAGAGGTCTATCGATCTGGTAGCCGAGCTCTCAAGGTCATTACCGAAACACGCAGCATTGAGCCACACAATCCAGCTCGCGAGGCCAAAATCCTGGCGACCCTCGAGAGATCGTGCATTCCCCTTCTTGAGACTTTTCGAGACCAGGAGCAACGATTTGTGTTGGTCTTTCCGTATATGCCAACCAGTCTAGAAGCGCTCATTGCCCAAGGATCAATCTCCTTGGCTCGCCTCAAGAAGCACTTTATTGATATATTCGGCGCTCTCGAGCACATTCACGAGCAAGGCATCATTCATCGAGACATTAAGCCCTCTGCCGTTCTTCTTGCTTCGCCTGATGGGCCAGCATACTTGTCGGATTTTGGCACGGCTTGGCACCCAACATTTTCAGCCACGGCAGAGCCCAAGGATCAGAAAATCCTAGACATTGGCACAGGAGCTTATCGAGCACCCGAGGTCTTGTTTGGAGACAAGTCATATGGCACGGCAGTGGACATGTGGGGTGCTGGCGCCATGTTGGCGGAATGCTCAAGAAATCCTCCCCGGACATTGTTCGAGTCGCGGCCAGTTCACGAAGACGGTAATCAGCTTGGCTTGATCTTGAGCATATTCAAGACAATGGGAAGTCCAACACGCGAGTCTTGGCCGGAAGCAGCAAACTTCAAGACACCGCCATTTGACATGTACCGTAGCTTCGAGCAACACACATGGGAAGAGATTCTACCCGACACCAGAGCCGATTTCCGAGCCCTCATTGCAAGACTTGTTCATTACAACAGCAACCGTGCAACTGCTGCTCAGGCAAGTACTCGCGTCGAGCTCCTCTATTCATGATCATTAACCAAAGAACAGGCCTTGGCTGCACTGTCTGAATTCCCAGTCAATGATTGAGTATATCAATATACCTTGCTCAGCTTTATACCGGGCTCCCGGTCAGTGTCGAGCATGTGCATGTGGCTCAGTTTGGACGTGGCATCCAGCTATATTGGCCACATCTCTTGTCCTGGTACAAAAGTATTTCTACGGGGAACAATTTGTTAATCTGGTACGAGTATACAATGGCCTATCTCGCCGCTCTTGGCGTTTTAATGATTGCAGTGTTTTCATCACATGGCTAGCAAAATCTAGAAAGACGCGCTCGTCAAGGCTTTTGGACTGGCATATCATTCAAGCTGCGGAAGCGCAGAATAAAAGTGTATTCCATAAATGACAAGCATACTTTTTAATAGTCCCGGCAGGCTCTCTGAATAATTAATTTAGCGCTTTGGAAACAACTTCCAGAGGAGTCTCCTCTCGAACGCCCAAAAGAGTATTGTCAGAGTCCTGGCTCGTTGCGACAATACAGCGGCCCTTGCCTGGCTCAAAGAGCTGAAAGACGAGAAGATCAAGCACCCAACCAGCTGTGCCAGCCTTGTGTTTTCTTCTCCCACTCTCCGCCAACTCTGCCGTGGTGCTGTTACGAACCTCCCAGTCTTTTCCAGTGGCTTTTTGGAATGCCTCGAGAAGCTGTTTCTGACATGTCTGGATTGAGCGAACCTTGACAAAGCGATTGGCCGTGGCTTCTGGATTCTGAAAGATTCCCACGACAGCCTGTCCTATTCCTTCCAAAGTAGTCCCTGTAAAATCTTCGCTACCTTGGTCGTAAATCACCGCCGAGTGTTGCTTGAGATTGAATCCCATTAATCCAAACCTTGGGAGAGCCTTGTGATAATTAGCTTCAGTTTGTTCTTCAAAGCAGACGCCAGTTTGGATAGACTAACCCAGTCTATTGGATTCCCGATTGTTATACCCGTCCATGTAAAGGTTGGGTTACTTGACGCAAGCTTCATGGCATGATCCCATGCAACGAGACGACGTTGCTTGATTTCTTGAAACTCGGGTTCACCTTCGAAATCGGGACCCCAACCAAAATCATTGATAATGAAACGCTTCAGACCGGCAGCCAAGGAAGCATCAATCATGGCCATGTGGGATGACATGGCGCCTGGTCCGACCACGCAGACGGCAGCATCTTGTCCATTTAGTGCCTTGGTAAGATTATCAACGGTATAGTCCGACTTGATGACCGACACGGCCGGCGGGAACGTGGACGCAGACTCTAGTCGACTTATGGCGGTTACTTGGTATCCCGCCGACAAGAGTGCGTCTGTGATGGGCACGCCAAAGTTACCAGCAGCCTCAAATCGTCAGCGCCCAGATAATGGAGAGTGTTCAATTCCAACATACCCCAAACACAGCAATCTTTTGAATAGCAGTCATGTCGAGAAGTTATGCACTCTACCGTTTGAGGGGAATGTGCAGATTGAGGCGGATATTTAGGTTGGTAGAAATCTGCAGGCTTCACGGAGCTCAGCTGACAGTGGGCCTACAAAAGTCCAAGTTTGGCTAGGTGACCTAAGAAATCCTTCCAAAGGCGGAACTTTAACGCTCTATACAAACTACGTGGCAATAGTATCATTTTCGTGCTTATCTCCAACGCTTTAAACATGTACACTGGAATGAGCAAACGCTCATGGAAAAACAAGCCATTCAAGTAGGCATGGGTCGAGCTGGCAGAGCCCAGTAAAACTCGTGGACCCACCGAGTAAAGAGTATGGGCAGTATACACGACGGGCCTGTTTTTGCAACACATTAACCCCAAATCTAGTCATCTTCCCATTGATCGTTGCCAACCCTGTAATCGTCATGCACATCCACCTCAATCGTGGTACCAAGAGCTTCCCTTCCCTCGCGGATCATATCCATCAACCTAGAGTTAAAGTCATTGATACGTGCATCTGTTTCCTGCTCCTGTATCATTCTTTTCGCGACCATGTTTCTTGCCCGAGCGTCGAGCCGCGGACTAGTCTCTTCCACAATCTCGTGCGCTGAGCTCTGGCGTCTCTGTATTTGACCCAGAGTGCCAGATGCAGTGGACGCCGCACTATGGGTCCGCCTATGTCCACGTGCAGTATATGGACTCGGACTAGGGATTTGCGAGGGCTGTTGCAACATCCTCGGTGGTGTGGCCGTACTTGAAGATCTTGCCCGCGATGGAACCGGGAGTCGGCTCGGCGTGGCAGGACGATCTGATACTGCCGGCGAGCGTGGCGATGCATAACTAGCAGGCTGTCTGTTTGTCAAGGCTACATTTCCTGCGTGGCTTACGGGTCTTGCGCTTTGCTGAGTCGAGCCCGTGTTTGCCAAGCGTCCTATCGGCTTGCTGATGCGCCGATTGAGCAGAGGTCTATTCTGTGTCGGTCTCTGGCTCTGCGGGGAACCCATGTTTCTAGGCTTATCAGTCGGATCCTCCACCATGACCCAGTTCCTGCGTAGCTCGTCGTTTGCAGCATTATTCGACACCTGTCGTCGCTTTGCTGCCGGAGGCGGAGTCGAGTCGGGAGTGTGTGACTGAGCTTGGAAGCGTGCATAGTCAGCGTCTGGAAAACCACCGGGTATATCGGGCAGAGTAGGGACATCATGCTCATTGCACCAAATGCTGCCGCGCACGGGTCCTGGGTTCACGTCGTAGCCTCTTCCACCTCCAGCGTAAAACCCACGGAATGCACCCACTGTGCAAAAATCCCAAACTTTTCCAACAACACCACCAATCGTCTCCAGTGCCAACCTGCTCCAACCGGGAATGGAAGTTGCCGTTGGGGGTTTTGAGCAAGGCATATCCGTCCGCCTTGATATGAGTGCACGCCGATAGTCAACATCCGAGTATGTGCTGTCGTCCATGTGCCCTAATTGCTTGTGCTCGGCTCCGTAAGGTGTCTCGATGGAAGCTGCAAAGGTGTATCGTGTGTCATGACCACTGCCAGAATATGGTCTGCTGCCGCTAGCACTATCAACGTCCATGGCTGCATCACTGTACAAGGCAGTCGAATCTCTCGGTTCATATCGCTTCCTTTTTACATTGAAAGCAGGCGTCGGTGAATCCGAATAGATGCTACCAGGTGAACGGCCAAAGTAGTTTGAATTCGAAATGGACGGCGATGTAGGAGGTCGAAACATGCCAGCGTAAACACCACCCAGCGGCGCCGCGCCGTTTGGAGCTTCCATTCGTACGGCGCCAGGCATTATGACCTAGAGCTCACTGAATAGCAGGTCCTTGTACCGGGGAATCTCAGAGTATGATGCAACTATCCCGCCAGCCAGACGTTGCGCCAACGCTCCGTGAATCGGCGTAATGTCGATGCAGGCTTGGTACAGGATTGTCGCAAATCAATATGTCGTTGCAACCTATCCAGGGAGGAAGCAATGTCGCACGGCGCCTGTGAGAGTCGCAAGTCGCGGGTCGTGGTTTGCGAGTTGGAGATTGGGGGTCTTGTGATGCCACAAATGCTCCGTGTCGCGTGGTCTCGGCGCATTCACAGCGCATTCACAGCACTGTAGACGGCCAGCTCCAAGCAGAAACGCAACGAAAATTTGGGGTGCGGGCGTCCAAATTATTGTCCGTATCGTCGTGTATGGATTCAAGTCTGAAGAGTTCTTGCGTCATGTATCGAGGTCTGTATCGAAATTGCTGGCTTTGCCCGGCGTCTTGGCGATTTACCGTGAATGACGAAACTAGCAAGCCAGACTTGAGCTGTTGCAACGCTCTCGGATCTGACAGTAATCGTTTGTCGATACCAAGTATGCGAAAAGAATGGTTTACGACATTATGCGCATCGGCCAAACAAACGGTCGATACTGCCCATCGAAGATATTGTCAAGCAAAAAGTGCAGGTATCAGCGGCAGATGGAGTGTTGAGCTGACATTTGGAGAAACGAGGTCGGTATCTGTTGGCAGTGGCTCCCGCTGTGACGTACCTTGGCGGCTGCTGCTCTAGGTAGCCTTTTAGGCTGAGCGGCACGTCGCAAACAGCACAATGCACAACCGTACGAACCTAGGCACTTGAGCAGAAGAGACGAGTTGAGCGAGACAGCAAAGGTTTAGGGTCTCGGACTGACAGTTTTTTAAGTTTACTAGCTGGGAGTCGGCCTGCCGCTGTCGAGTTCCAGGTTGTGCTGATCCAGGACCCCAGGTTCCGTTGCCGGGTCAGATATGTGCGATCAAGGTCAACATTAATAATGCTGGGACCCCGGGCAAACTGGAGCTCGCTTCTACAAGCATGTTAAGCTTGGTATCCACTCCGCGGGGTCACCAGTCGCGGGGCACAAGTGACACTGGAAAGGAAATGGTAAATAAAGTATTCACTGCCAAGTATGAACTCTTCTGTTGAAATAATCATTATCGTAATCATCCTGTCCATTGTCTCTCAAACGAGTTATCTGCCATGCGCTTCTAGTCAGCATGAGCGAGAGGTGATTGCTCTCTTAATGTCTTGGAAACTTCAACTACCAGGGCGCTGAGCGCATAAACGCTGCGCATACCCAGGAATTACAATGCCCAATCCATCATCATGCAGTGCTGGCGTCATCCTTGGAGTAGTAGGCATCTTGCTGCTCAACCTTTTGTTCGGAAACGCCTCCGTTGGCTCTGTGGTCTCCTTGGACGTGGCCCTTTCCTGCCCAAAAGTTTTCTCGCTCCTTGAGTATATCCTTGGCCCATTCTTGCGTCTCTGGCAGCACCACTTTTGTCGCGACATAGGCAAACTCTCCCAGATCCAAGGTGTGGTTCATTCTCTTTTCGTACTCGACCATTTGGCACAATAGCTCCATCTTGTCAATGTCGTGCACAAAGAGGCTTTCCAGAGTCTTGGAGTCCTCGTATTCTTGCCAAATGGCACGGATTTCTGCGCCAGCCAATCCGCTGTACACACCTCCCAGCAAGCCGTTGGAAATATAGTCCATTGTTTCGGCCTCTCGGCGGCTCTTCTCGGGCTTGGCTACTCCGTCCACGGGAGTAATGTCACCGACCAGGGACTCGGCCATGTCGTGTATCAGACACATTTTCATGCACTTTGGCAGGTCGATTCGTGAGGCGAGAGACGGAGGACACAGCATAGTCATGAGAGACATGCGGTACATGTGGTCGGCAATAGACTCTCCCTTTTCAATGCCAAACCGCCTCCAACCCTCACGCTTGCTCGTCTTTAGTCGCTCCAGCATGTGGAAGAATGGCAGCGGCGATGTCGAGTTGCTGACTGGTGGTTCGGGATGTATCGTTGCGAGGGCTTTCTCGACTGTCCAATCGCCGGAGACCTTGGCTGTCTCTACAGACCCAGCATCTAGAGAAATTTCTTTTTAGTACAAGTATAGAACAACTAGATACATACAAACATACCGACTGGCTTGAAATCGCCATCAAGGGTAGACGGCGACATGTCGACGAATTGAGACCTGATTGCGGTTCAGGTACTTGTGCTCGTAGAGGTCGATAGGAAGCCTGAAGCAAATGCCCGGGCGCAGTAAGAAATGAATTTCAAGATTAGAATTCGGGGAGCTTGAGCAAGTCAGAGTTGGAATCAGGCGTTTGTTGTTTTCCTTGGCAGATTTCGCTGGCAGAAAACTAGCATTCTTTGAATTGTTGCAAACAAATCTGCGACAAACCAACCTACGTAATAACGCTAATGGTTGGACCCACAGCCATATTGCACTGTACGTAAGTTGTATTAGCTCAGTGTATTTTTAAATCCGTCATTTTCATTCGTCGGAGAGGATCATGCCGAGACCCTGCCAATCCGTCAATATACTCATATGGTCGATGCCAAATTTATTTGATCCAGCGACATTCACTCACATATCTAATGCCTTTTGCCTGCAATGCCGTCTTCTTTTGGACCAGTCGCAGATTCGCTGTCATGTGACGAGTCAAAGGGCATCGGCCATAAGAGGGCAGCTGGCGTATGCCGCTTTTGTAAGGCCGGGGCTCTGTCATGTCCAAACTCGAGGCGCTGGATTGCTTCCAAATCTAGCCAGTACTGACTACATGAAAGTGCACTGGAAAATAGATGCTTTGGCTTTACAACTATACTTGTAGAAAAGGTTTACGGAATAAATTGCCTCATTCTGCCCTGGACCTCCTAGGTCGTAGGAGTGAATATCGACATCTGCGGTCTCGGGCACAATAGCACCCACGAAACCCCCACGGCTTGCGGGGAGGAGCTCCTCTAGAGTTGCCATCGGTCAAACGTGGGACGAGGCGACAGTCTAATCGAGGTGGAAATCGGCGGAATTGACGAATTAGAGCGAGACTCAATCTAGAATAATACACACTAACTCTGGTAGTCACTGTCCATTGAAGCCGGCAAGTAGTGTATCAAGTAGGTAAATGTACCATGCGAGAAATGCACGCAAATAATTGAGCTCCAACACGGCGAGAAATCCACCGTGATGCAAAGTCTGGTGAGCTCCGATCCCGTCAAATACCCCGCATGACGCTATTCTAGGGGCCCCTCCAACATTTAGAGGTATAATAGATATGGGACGCGCCGTGTGGTCAAGAGTGCGACTGTTCTGCAATGCTGCCATTTCCTACTTTCCGCCATTCTTCTGCAACTGTTTTCAAGGCAATCAGGTCATATTCTTCCTTTTCCTCAGCCATGAAGCTCCTATACCCAACGTCACTCGCTCTCGATGTTCAGAGCCTCGAGGGCTTCTCAGTAGACCTGCAACCATATGATGTGACAAAACCCATCCCCGAGGAGCATACCGATGCATCTGCGCTCGTGACTTGGACCAACACTTCTGCGAACCTTTCGGATGCCGCCAAGCGACTCACAAATGTACGCTGGATTCAGTCACTGGCTGCCGGACCCAATGACGTTCTCGGTGCCGGCTTCGATGCCTCCAAGATCAAGATTACCACCGGCTCTGGTCTTCACGACCACACAGTCGCTGAACACACTCTGGGCTTGTTGCTCAATGCAGCTCGCCGTTTCTACGAAATGAGAGACTACCAATTGCAATCGAAATGGCCTCAACACCTTGGCGGCCCACAGCCCGACCGCCCAAAGGGCAAGTTCACCTCGCTGCGTGATGCCAACATTTTGATCTGGGGCTACGGCAACATTGCCAAATCGCTCGCACCACACCTGACTGGCCTGGGTGCCCAAGTCCGGGGTGTTGCAAGAAGTGCCGGTGTACGAAACGGCGTCGAGGTGTACGGCGAAGACAAGCTCGCCGAGCTGTTGCCACAGACTGATGCTCTCGTCATGATTCTGCCGGGCTCGGAGAGCACCAAGCACGCTCTCAATGCTGAGCGCCTAAAGCTGCTGCCCAACCACGCTTGGGTGGTCAATGTCGGAAGAGGCATGTCGGTGGACGAGGATGCTTTGCTCGCAGCTCTGGAAAGCTCCCAGATTGGAGGAGCTGCCCTCGATGTCTTTGACAAGGAACCTCTTCCCGAGTCCTCCAAGCTATGGAAGGCCCCGAATGTGATTGTCAGCCCACACGCTGCCGGCGGAAGACCACAGGGCGCCGAGGCTTTGATTGCAGAGAACTTGAGAAGATTCCAGGCTGGGCAACAATTGAAGAACATAATCTAAGAAACCCTGATACCCATTATAAACAAAATAATTCTCGGGAGATGTCGATTAGGAGTTTCTAGCTGAATCTCCTGTGAACCAGGGCTGTTGATCGTACATGTACTGCCGAGACACCTTGACAATTAAACGCATAGACCAATAAAATGTATTACTCATTCGCTACTTGTCGCTTCATCATCATACGTGTATAGTGACCTGATTGCCATGCCCGTCATTATGTTAAATCGATGCAATGTTACTCCAACATCCGAATTTCTCTGTCAAAATTACTTTTCAAAATAGTGGGTGAGATCACTAACACATTGTTAGAATGTACATCCGATATCTGCCAGTTTTCCGTCTTGGGACCCGACACTTTACTTACTTTGTCGCACCGCATTTAGGACAGTCTTCAGAAACTTTTGATAGTGGCTGGCTCGAAGGAGTACTTGAAGTGTGCAAGTTTGTAGAGGGCTTGTTTTCGACTTGAACACCGGATGGGGTGCCAGAGGCCAAGACGTTGTATGGGCTCTGACCACCTTGATTTCCAGGAGTGTATTGGGAAGACTCTGGTTGTCCACTAGCTGTGTTTGCCAGGTTGCTCTGACCATGGCCGTGCGTGTCTCGAGCGACGCCAGAGGCGGTACCACTTGCAAGGTGATCATAGGAATCGTGTTTGGTGGAAGTTGATGAATTATAAGCAGCACTTTGCACAGAGGTGTTTTCGGGAGTGCGTATTGAACCAGATGCGATTCCAGTCTGGTTTCTCGTGTCGATAGGTTGCTTCTCGTGCTGGGCCATCTTGGAAGCACCATATCCAGCTCCGGCCGCTGCTCCCACACCAGCTAGGTTGCGAGCTTGACTCGCATGACGATCGTCATGAACTACATTAGAAGGCGTCTGTCTGGATTGTTGAAATTGGGAATCGTTTTCGGCGTATCCAGCAGGCTGATTAGTTGTTCCATGAGAAAGAGAGGTTTGTGCGTTGTTGATTGTAGAAGCCTGCTCTGGTTGATATTGAACAGGAGTATCATTCTCATGTTGCTTTTCATGGCGCGAGAGACCATATCCCATGGCTGCGCCGGCGCCAACTCCAGCAAGTCCCGCCGCATTTCTGTTTCTGTGAGAGCTGTCATCTTCGAGTGATTGCTTAAGCTCGGGTCTGCTAGTTGAGCCAGAAGTGACTGAATCATCTGTAACAATATCAGATGCTCGCTTGTGCGCAGTGCTTCCACCTTCTTCGTCGTGTCTGCGGTGCAGAAAACCAGTAATCTTGTGTTGATGACCGGTGGGATCAGCTGCCTTGGAATTGTAATCATTGGAATCTTGTGCAGTTGTACGTCCTCCAGTGACATGTTGAGTCTGATCCTTGTGCCGTCCAGCTAATGCAGCGCCACCGGCATCTCGAGTGTTGGTAGGTGTTACATTCATGGTGTCTTGCAAAGGACGACGGGCTTCCGTGCCAGTCACGTTACCGCCGGATGGAAGAGTCCCTGCATCTGCCTCCTTGGCATGTTTGTGATGCTGCGAAGCGCCATACGCCGCGGCACCTACGCCCATGGCTGTTCCAGCCTCGCCAATGTGGCGATCATGGCTCGTGTCATGGCTGTCGTTTAGTGGAAAGACTCTGTGTCCATCCTCATTGTAGTGCATAGCATCATGCTCGTCATTACTGCCGTGTCCGGTAACAGTATTGTAAACACCCGAACCATAGCTGAGCTGATCTGGGGAAGAGCTCGAGGCAGCATTGCGTGGTGACTGTCCATCATCTGGGCCCCTGGGAATTGCGCGGTGTTGTGTTGATGTATCCTCGCCACTACCATGACCAATCACTGTATTATAGACGCCAGAACCCTGCGGCAAATCTCCCCAATATGGTTCCTCTTTCTGCGCGGCAGAAGAGTCTTTGCTGTCCGCAACGTCCCGGCGCGACGCTTGGCTTGGTAGAGAATTGTCATGTGCACCACTGACTGCAGCAGCTCCAATGCCAGTAGTCCCCTGATGGCTTGTATATCCAGGGTTGTTTCCCGCTTCTGTACCAGAAAGACCAGAACGATCCAAAGGGGTATCTCGAGAAGTGGAAGCATGACCATCGTGAGCAATTCCAGACAGCGGCTTTTGACCAGAGCGATCCTCGCCGAGTGCTCTCGCAGGGACACCGCCGGCGCCAGCAGCCACAAGGCCAGTGCCAGGCACAGCAGACGTGTCAGGCCGGTTTTGCTCATCTGTTGCTTGTCTACTATTGTCGTGAGCATATGGTTGTGTAGCTGGCGACGCAGAGATATTCTTGACGGAATCATGTGCGAGTGGCTGTCCCCCCAGTCCTACCCCCGAGTCCACGGGCTTGTGACTGTAACCTGCCGCGGAAGGGTTCTCTTGGCTAATGGGAATGGTATAATCACGAGGGTCGTCTCGCTTGTGAAGCTTGTTGTGCTCATGGTGCTCTCTGTGTTGATGTTGATCTTGCGCAGCAGAATCTTCCTCGGGGAATGAGCCAGGAGTTCGATGGTCAACAACACCTTTCTCGGCTTCAGCAGAGTGTTCAGTCGTAAAGACTGACTTGATCTTTTCTCCAATGCTTGGCATGATGAATAATTCGTATAGGGTTCAATGGCAACAAAGTCCAGAGGTATACAAATAATAAACTTGCCCAGACCAAAGTGCCCGTTGGGGCTATATTATAGTCAGCCACTGGAGGGAAACAATCTTCGAATGGTCGCCATGACCAGTACACCAAGACACGACAGCCAGTGACATCAGAAATAACCTTTAATCTTTGTGCTTTGGCCACCAATCATGATTGCAGCATGTTTCAGTCATTATGCTTGCGCTTAATCAAAAACCGGCTGAGCATGTAGACTTTGCGTAATAGAATCAGTCGTGTCCCAAACTATTTCGTCACACAAGTTGCAATGCCGTGCAACACGTTCCAACGGGCAGCAACGTCCTCAGCTCGTCCGCATGCGCATGCGGTGGCTTGTCCATAACTCCTCTTTCTGGCAGTCAAGTGCGTCAGTGGTAAAGGTTAGCGCTTCCATTTGTGCGCTACGACTCGGAACTACTGTACAAGTCTCGTAGCTAAGACGTCAATCTCGCGCTGAATCTGGGGTTCCAAATCGATGGACTAGATTGCGCTATTGATCGTGGGATCTGCGACTAAAGATTGTGAACAGAGAATCTTGTTAATATTCGGGTGGCAGTATGACTAGCTTGAGAATGTGTAAACATGATGTACGGATTCGACTGCATGCCCACTGCAGACAGCCAAGATTCAATACGAGCCGACCACGTGCGGGATCTAGGCAGGCCCTCTCTAGATCTGCATGTCAATGTAACGACGCGGCTGTGGTAGAATATAATCATGCAGCCGTGTGGCTGGAATTCTGTGCACAGTGATTGCCCGACGGCTCGGTCCGGCAGATTGATCTACAAAGCTAAAGTTGATCCCATTCAAAAACACTCGGACATGTTAAACATGGAAATGTATCGAGTTAATAAGTCTAGTATATGATGCAAATCCATACTCTATTACTTTTGTGCACTTTTCCATGGAGACGCCACTGAATTAAAAACTCTTGCCAACATCGCGGCCCTCCTCTTGATGAAAGCCCAAGCCGTTTCGTATACGCTCTTCAGTCGCAACTATCCTCTTTGGGAGCGCATAACCTAGGCCGAAAAAGACGAAAAAGACCCATTTCCATCGAAAAGGGTTAATGGTGACACAAAATGTGAACCACCAGATCAGCTCAAGGTAGGTGAAGAAATCAAACGCGCCAGTTGGAGCGGTAGACTTGAGAATCTTGGTCATGTCGATCCATCGTTCCATCCAAAAAGTCCGGGGCCGCGTCAAGGGGTCCACGAGAAACATGAGCAGAATTCGCGTATAGATACCAATGTGCCAGTTGCCTACGGTACCAATGGCATTGACATAGGTACAATTTATGGCAGAGACTGAAGGATGCGTTGGCGGAAATGTCTGTAGATACCAGTTGGGTGGTCCATATGGTTCATCAAAACAGTCATCTGGGAGGAATTTCAGACTTGGTCGCTTGTACCCCGTGGCCATGACAATCATGTCACCTTGAATCTCCTTGTTGCGACCTGGACCTCCGGGTGGCACTCCCTTGTCGCGTTTGTTGACGACAATTCCATTCTCGGTGAAATCTTCAATGTCGCATCGGACCCATTCGGCCTCTCCGCTGCGAAGCTTGTCCATGACGTCCGAGTTGACCATGGGAGTTTCCATAAAGATTCCCTTGTTTCGTGGCGCGAGATCCTGCAGATCCCGGTAAAAGAACTTTCGAAGGAGTGTCTCGGGTATCCAGGAGAAGAGGGTCTCTTGGCCGAATATGTTGAATGAAAGCAGGACATTGACAAGAGTATTGCGCGGGATGATCCACTTGTCGGATCGTGAGAGGATATACGTCTTTTTACATCCTTCTTCCGAGGCGAATTCGAGGGCTTCAACGGCAGAAGCGCCACCTCCAATAATGAGCATGGTCTTGTCCTTGGCATTTTTCCTGACAAGAGGTTAGTACAAGGACATGATCATACGTAGAGAAACTTACCCAGTCAATTCGCTAGAATGGTAGACGTCGCCTTTAAACTTGCTCATTCCATCCATTGTCGGCATCTTTGGGTCACCACAAGTTCCAACGGCAGCAATGAGTCCCTCAAAACGGCCATTGGAAGTATCATTGACTATCCAACGACCTTGTTCATCTTGATAGACCTTTTCGATACGTGTGTTGAATTTCGTCCTCGTATCGAGTCCGTAGCGCTCCCAAAGCTGCTTGACTTGGCTAATGATTTGTTGCCTATCGGGATATCCGCGATCCCACTTGACCGATGGGTGGAATCTGTACATGAGAGAATGGATTTGCAACCCAGAAGTGTTGTTTACCTTCTGCAATCCAGTTAGTCAGGACGTTGATCAAATATCACAATTCCAAAACTGACGCTCCAGATCCCGCCGAGGGACTCTCGATCTCCGGCCTCAAAGATGACCACGTCAAAGCCATGGCCAACACAATGCGCAGCTGAAGTAACACCAGTGATACCAGCGCCAATGACGGCAATCTTGGGCCGTCCAAGTCTTGTGCTAGGATTGGGTGGCTCAGGTGAGAGAACCTTGCCAATAACCCATTGCACCAGCTGAAATATGAAGAGTATCGGATGAAGTAAAGGATTTCCGGTATTGGACTTGGCCATTTTGGCGGATTTGTCCAGTGTTGTCTCTAGAATAGAAGAATCAAGTGTAGTCCGAGGGCATGCCACTAGATTTATATATGAATGCGAAACGCGCCAGGTTATGCTCTTGGCCAAAAAGAACCTCATGTCTGGTTCGGTCCAGTCGGTCGTACAAGTGCAGCATCCTTGCCAATGACGTCGTGTGTACGTTGCATTTGCATGTGAATGGTTTCTGCGCGCGGTGCTGCGGGTCCATGCGTTTGGCCCGCTATTAGGTAGCCAGCAAGAGTTATTTCCGCTTTCAAGGGGTCAATTCTCAGACGGACATGAAGTCGAGTGTTTACTATCAATCAGTCCTCGGACGCATTTTTCTGAATGGATTCAATTGAAAAGTCGGCATGGTCATGGCCACTACCGCTTGCCTCTGTCTCTCCGACCTCCCTCCATGACTTTGAGTCGCTTTTGGAAATGGTCGCCAATCTCCCTGGTGCCACTGTTGAGGCCGCTGCCACGTGCACTGTCTGTTGTTTCGCGGCCTCGCTTTCTGCTCTTTTCCAGCAATGCCCTTGTTCCCGAGCTTGAACCATCCTTGCGCTTTGTTAATCTGTCGATCCTGGCAGCACCTTCTCCCAAATCGCGCCAATCCTCGCCACCAAATTGCATCTTGGAAGTTTTACCTTCGGCCTTGTTGCGAGCGATGCGGTCCTTTTTGCTCTCCTTGGGCAAACGTGTAAAGTTGGATTCTTCGTATTCACGTCTCCGGTCTTCCTCGGCACGCTGAGTTGCCGTCTTGATCTTGCGACCTCCGGCGATAAAGTTTGTACCAACACTGGGTTCGGCAACTGGGGCCGCAGACAGCTCGTTGGAAATGTACTCGTCCATTGTGGCAGATTTCATGGGCCGCCTGTCTCGCACTTCTCTCCGCTCCGTAGTCGGCATGACGGTGGGTGCAAACTTGGGGGGTCGGTACACGCCCGTCTTGTCCTTTGTTGCTGCTGCCATGCCCACAGCCTCCTTTCCTGCGATAAAGTTGAAGCCAGGACCAGCCATTTTATCGTGAGGTTGTCGTGTCGCGGACTCTTGACCTGCCTCGGACTCATTGTCCGACTCGTCAGAGACTACTGATTCATTGTCCTTGTCGCCGTTGAGAGCATCGCGCTGCGCATTTCTCTCTGCATCCTCGGCTGTTCGTAGAATCTTGTCCAACTGAAACCGCAACTTGTCTTCAAGTGGCCGTACACCCTTTTCCAGGTACAGTCTCAGCTCTACCAATTTCTCGACAACTTGGTTTGACAGGTCGGAATCCTTGTTTGAAGACTTTTCGTTGGAGCCTTTTGCATTTCGAATCTTGAGAAGGATGAGGAAAACGAGGTTCTGGAGGTACGAAAGGAGAAGCTCATTCTTGACATTGAGCAAAGACACTCCATCTGTAGGCGGTTCGATACCGGCAAGTTTTGGGGTTGCTTCGAGCGCCGAGTCGAGCGACTGTGTCAGCGACGCCAGCAGAGCTGGCAGAGAAGTCTGAACTGCCATGTCGAGTTCTGAGCGACACTTGATGAAGAGTTATGGCAAGGCGTAGTGTTGCAGTGTAAATCAGGCGCATGGAAAATCAGAGGGAAACTTTTTTGGTCGGCACTGCTGATAACGATAAGCTGTCGAGCAAAAGATCCACTATTCCAGGTACGTACTATACCGAGCCGGATCAATCGGCGCTATAGGTACCGACTGCTCGCGTCCGCTCCAGTGCGTGTCCACTGCATTCTTGGCACGCCAGTTTAGACCCATGCGACGATGATGTGGCATCCAATTCAACCTCGATAGGAGCTCCTGAAATTCGGTAACCTAGCTGCAAGTCAACACAGCATAACTTTTTTCTCCTGCATAGGTTTGCACATTCCTCTTACTTCTCTTTCTTCCTGCGCTTTCTTGATTGAAAGTCAACATATGGTCAATACTCTGCTTTGAGCCCTCCCTTTGATGCCCAACAATCGGCTCGACTCTGAGCGGACCACGTTGGAGCGGCGCAGCCCTGCGCTCATTGACCTTGGTCTTTGATTGAAAACACGAGATTCGCATACGTAAGGCCCACCAAACACAACACCTCTCATCAAGCAAACCAGACTTTTGTGTTCTAGTCAATAGAGATATTCGTTTCTCTAACTCGTGTGCCACTAGTGGATTGAGCATCACTCCCCAACGTACGGCAATGTGGCCGTTACCAAACGCGCCGTCCTTGGCGCTCACGACGCTCCTCGTTTTACCACAGGCTGTATCTGCCTTTTACCTGCCTGGTGTCGCCCCGACTTCTTACAAACTCAAAGACAATGTACCTCTGTACGTCAACAGCGTCAAGCCGACGGCCTCGAACGAAGATGCGCTCGTCCACTCGGTCATGGCATATGACTACTACCACGAGAGATTCAACTTTTGCAAACCTCCCGGACCAGATGGCCCAAAATACGTGTCAGAGAGCTTGGGAAGCATTCTGTTTGGCGATCGAATCATGACCTCGCCCTTTGAATTGCACATGGGACAGAATGAGATTTGCAAGAAGCTCTGCACAACAGCATATGACAAATCGTCGGCTCATTTCGTCAACAAGCGCATCGTGCAGGGCTATGCCATGAACTGGCTCGTGGATGGACTTCCCGCAGGCCAGGAGCTCTTTGAAGAGGTTTCTCAGTCGACATACTATAGCTCTGGTTTTCGGCTCGGTGCCGTTGAGAATGGCGCCCAAGGCACTCAGCCCGTCTTTCACAACCACTACGACATCAACGTTCAATACCACGAAGTTGGCAATGATCCCAACCAGCTTAGGGTGGTGGGTGTGATTGTCGAGCCATTATCGAGGCACTACACCGAGGGTAGCGAGTGCTCGGACGATCCCAACATCAAGTACAGCCCCATGGTGCTCTCCGAGGACAGCAACACCGAGGTGCAATTCACCTATAGCGTGTACTGGACCAAGTCGCCTACCGCCTGGGCTACGCGATGGGACAAGTACCTGCACGTCTATGATCCCAAGATCCACTGGTTCTCTCTTGTCAACTCTGCCGTTGTCGTGATTATTCTCGTCTTGACTGTGAGCTCTGTTCTCTTCCGGGCCCTGAAAAAGGACATTGCCAGGTACAATCGCCTCGATCAAATCAACCTCGACGACTTGTCTGGCACTTCTGCGCTCGAGGATGGTGTACAGGAGGATTCCGGATGGAAGCTGGTGCATGGTGACGTTTTCCGGACACCCTCGCATCCTTTGCTATTGTCCGTTTTCCTCGGCAACGGTGCCCAGCTATTCGTCATGACTGGTTTCACCATTTGCTTTGCTCTTTTAGGTTTCTTGTCGCCATCCAACAGAGGATCCCTCGGAACCATCACGGTCTTGTTGTACACTCTGCTCAGCTTTGTGGGTGGCTACATATCTGCCCGGTCGTACAAGTCCATGAATGGCGACAAGTGGAAGCTCAACATTGGTCTGACTCCTCTGCTGGTTCCTGGCATCGTATTTGGAACCTTTTTCTTCCTCAATCTGTTCCTATGGGCCAACCAATCTGCCGGAGCGGTTCCCTTTTCAACCATGTTGGTGATTATTGGCATTTGGTTCGTCATATCCATTCCGCTGTCGTTTGCAGGTTCCTGGTTTGGCTTCCGCGCCAGTCCCGTCGAGCCTCCTGTTCGCACCAACCAGATTCCCCGCCAGATTCCGCCCACGACAACCTACCTAAGGCCTATTCCCAGCATGCTTCTCGTGGGTATTTTGCCTTTTGGAGCCATCTTTGTGGAGCTCTACTTTGTCATGACATCCATCTGGTTCAGCAGGATCTACTACATGTTTGGTTTCCTCTTCCTCTGCTATGGCTTGATGATCATCACTTGTGCCGCCGTCACGGTCCTCATGGTGTACTTTTTGCTGTGCTCTGAAAACTACCATTGGCAGTGGCGCTCGTTCTTGGCCGCTGGTACAAGTGCCGTCTACATTTTCATCAATGCCTTGATTTACCTCATTAGCAAGCTCTCGCTTGGTGGTTTCGCGGGTATTGTACTATACATAGGATATAGTGCACTCTTGTCATTCCTTTTTTTTGTTCTGACCGGTAAGTCTCGCCCTCTTTCCAAGCCGTCGCTCGTGTCTGACCATGTCTCTAGGATCCATTGGTTTCTTTGCCAGCTGGTGGTTTGTTCAAAAGATTTACTCGTCCATCAAGATTGATTAAGGAAGGTTGCAGTACCTGCAGTGTTACGGGACGAATGGACGTGTACCATAACTTGTACGATTTGAGCATGCCCACCGATTAATGTCACATGAATAGGCGTTTTATGGGTAGGGAGTGTCCAAAAAGCTAGATCTGTTGCTTGACTGTCACTTTTCTCCAAGGACAGTCGATAGGCATCAATACATTCTGATTTTGAAAACAAATCCACTATAAAGTGAGACATTCATGCCATGGTCAATCATGTCAGCCTATCATGAAGAAATGTTGTTTTTCTCTCCTTGTTGACTTGCTTATTTGGGTCGCTTGAACAGTAGCAAATGTGGCGAATGCCAAGGCAGCCCCCGCACGCCTCTCCGTGTTGTGCTCCATTGAAACGGCTTCCAGGATGAGCATCCGCCTAGGCTGCTACAGAGCACTGGAACGCGGTGTTGCATCTTATTTGTGCCATGACAACCTTCTTTCTACAACTACCCAAAGACACAGTCGTCAAGATTCTCCAAAATTCGCAAACATGGCATCATCAGAGGCATTCACATTCATTACAGAAAGCAAAGACTTGGCGCCTCAGTTCTTTGGACCGTATCTGGATCGTACGGGGGCCAAGGTGGCAGACCTGCAGACGCACCTCCTCACAGATTTGAGAAGGCAATACCCTGAACTCATCATTTCGTGAGTCGCCCCAATAACGGCATTATTGCACAGGGCTCATTCGGAATAGCATCATTCCAGCTGGGAATGTCAACCTGCTAGCCTTTGCTGCTGCGGGTTTTGCCCAGGCTGAACTAGACTTGGACGATGAGCCAATCGTCCGTTGGAGAGGCTACTCACCGCCACGCACTCGCCACGGATCTGGTGCTCTGGCGGAATCGAGATTCTTTGCCAAGTACCGGTACAAGTGGAACAATGAGGATTTCATATTATACAGCGTCATTGTTGGAATTCAGAGTCTGCAATATGTCTTGAAAGAACCGCATGGCTCCGAAACGACCCTGTCCAACTCGGCCATTGTCGATAAATTGATCTTGGCAATTGGAGAATGGTACACTGTAGACGAGGACATCATTTATGTGTACGATGGTTACTGGTCGGCATCAAAGACTCTGTGGAAACAAGTGCAGGATGCCAGCTGGGACAAGGTCATTCTGGATCCCAAGATGAAAAAGGACCTAGTCGAGGTGAGTGGAAAGTTCTTTGACAGCAAGGACATTTATGACGAGTACGGCGTGCCTTGGAAACGAGGCCTCATCTTTCACGGCCCCGTGGGCAACGGCAAGACAATTTCAATCAAGGCTCTCATGCACACTCTCAATCAACGGAAGCAAAAGATTCCTTCGCTGTACGTCAAGAATGCATCCCAGACGTACAATATCCGTAACGTCTTTCAATTTGCTCGATCAATGAGTCCGTGTCTGCTGGTGTTGGAAGACATTGAGACCATTGTGACGCCCAATACTCGGTCCTACTTTTTCAACGAAGTAGATGGGTTGGAAAACAATGACGGCATATTAATGGTTGCAACTACCAACTACCGTATGTACTTTGGTCCTTTTTAACCTCCTCAGCTAATCAAACAGTCGATCGCCTCGATCCCGGTCTTTCCAAGCGTCCAAGCCGCTTTGATAGGAAATATCTATTTCCACTGCCCAATCTGGTATGTGTCGTTGGGATTTGATGACGGCCAAGAGCTAACCCTGCATAGAACGAGCGGGTCTTGTATTGCCAATTCTGGCGGCGCAAGCTCGACGGTAAACCGGATGTTGACTTTCCCGAGTCCTTGTGCCTACCCATTGCCAAGCTCTTAGACGACTTTTCATTTGCCTACATGCAGGAAGCTTTTGTGGCGACACTCCTTATTCTAGCAAGAGGCTCGGAGAGTAGTGCCTCGATCAATTGCCTTTTCAATGACCCGAATCAGTACAGATTCTACCGAATCATCAAGGAGGAGGCACAGATGCTTCGCGAGGACATGGACAAGTCGGAGATTACTCCCCCTGTTCCGCTTGTGGCGCCGAATACGAGCTACTCGGGCCCCTGGACAGCCACTCCAGGCACATCACTTGCAGACCAGCACGCTATCAAACATGACCAAGAGCTTGTGAATCTTCCCGGCCGACATAGTTTCCAAAGCGATCCCAACACTGCAGCTGTCCGGAGTCTTGTTCAGTATTTCTCTGTCCGGCTGTGATTATAGGTCTCGTCAGTTTGGCACATTTTCGATCAAGTTCATTTCATGATAATCAAAAGTTCCTCGTGTATTAGTATTACTTGTAAATCTATAGAGCAACGCTCGAAAAGACTGAAAGACGATTGGCGCCACCACATGCTCCCGTCGCTCCCGTAGCAGGGCAGGGACCAGCGCAAGAGGTCTCTACCACATTCACGCTTTCACTTCCCATGGCATTTCCGCAGTAGCAGTTCATGTAGCTCACTCCAGCAATGGAGTAGCCCTGTTGGGTGCATAGGTCGGAGCAATAGCTTCGCGAGTTCAGCGAGCCAACATAGGCAGACACGGGCAATGCTCCAATGCTCTGAGCATTGTCGACATCCGTCCAGCATCCCTGATAGGTCTTGCCTCCAGCGTAAACGGTAGAGTCGGCTCCAATCAATGCCTGCGAGTTTTGAGATGGATCGGGGTAGGGGTCGTCATAGGAGGCATAACGAGGGTATCCAAAGTCATAGGCGCGATTTCCAAGCCCAGCCCAGTTGTCAATAAAGAGTCGAGTACGGCCAGACACATCTTGGAACATGGTGGGTGCATCGTGACTAGAAACGACAATGTCGACCGTGCGACAAGGCCCAGCTGGGTTCTCGCAGGTTGCAGGGAATGTCTTGATGAACTCGAAAAAGCGTTCATTACGGTCCGCTCCAGTGGTGTAGGTAGCACATTCGTCATTTGGATTATAGTCTCCCTTATCCTTGGTGGCCCGGGCATATGCAATAGTGCGGCTGTTATAGTTTGCCAGTAGCGCATCCCGGCCGGCGGCAACCAAAGCGTTATTGTATGTCATGGGTGTCGAATGGTCAGATCCATACGTGTCATAATTGGTGAAACCTTCACGGTAGTCATCGTATCCGGTAGGACATTTCGAAGTGGACAGAGGCCTCGTTTCTGAAAACCAAATCAGACTGTTGGGATCACCAATCCAGTAGCTGACGGGAGTGGTAATGCCCAGCTGATCATTCGTCTTTCCCACGGCAGCAAAGCGGTTGGCCATTTGCGCGCCCATGGAGTGCCCAGAGACGACAATCTGGTTGATATTGGGGAACTGTGCCTTGTTGCCGTAATATTGAATGATTTGGTCCAAGGTGTCAAACGAAGAGACAGTCTTGGTGTTTGGAGGATACTCATTGTTGGCTCCTCCTGACCACTCGTCGTCAAACCAAACAAGTGCTGGAGACGGGTACTGGTCTGCAGGTGTAGCACCGCTGGGATTGTAAGGGAATCCCGTGCCCGCATCGTCGTCGTTTGGATAGTACGGTGCGGTGATGGCTACATTGTCCAGGCTTATGTCGTCGGTTTCCACCAACTCCAGAGCCTGGATCATGGCGGCATGGTAGTTCCAGGGATCATTTCTGGCGCCGTGCAAGACTATTACAGCGCGCCTCAGATCCGCATCTATCGGTCGTCCGCCAGTCGTGTTGAGTGATTGAAATGTGAGCAGACTAATATCGCTGGCGGGATCGGACGAGCAGACGTGCTGCCCAGACGGATCTCTGATTTTGAAATAGGTGAGTTCCGAGCGGTCATGTGTCGAGGCAAGACTATTCTGGAATGCGGTGCCAGCGTACTGGCCTGGGACTATATCGTCGCATTGTGCTTGCACCAACGAAAGAATGGTTGCGGCAACAAGAGCCGCAACGGAATTAGAAGCGCGCATATTAGTATAGTGTGCGGGCGGGAAATAATTATGATTAGAGTTGTGTAGCCCAAAAGGCTAAAAGATAAGAGTATAGCGGCCAACCCAACACCACCAGCCAGCAAGCCACGATCGAGGCAGACCTGATTATATATCGAGGAAACCAAAGTCAACAGCCAAGACGTACTTCGGAGAAGGAGGCTCGCGGATTTACAAGCTATACACGCAAATACGAGCTGCACACGGACCAAGAAATCTGTGCCGTACTATCGTCCGAGCGATTGCTGATCAGGTCGGTTCAGGGTCTAGGCTATCTGACGGTGCAGGCCGTATATCGCAATTTCGGTGCTTACAGCTGGCTTAGGGGAAGATACGGACTTGGGGCTGAGATCAGGCCTGACAAGGCCCAGGCGAGAAAATGGGACACTTGAGATGTTTGGGTGAAGGATGATTCTCTACTCTGTACTGCGTATCATATTGTAAAGTCATGAGATGGCAAATAAATCTGTGACGACGAGCCACAATATTTTGGGGGGCACAATAAATCACTTGTAGCTGGTAAACAAACCGAGAATATAATGGCCGTGTCCCATTTCCCATTTCCCATTCAACCCGAAACCCACCGTCTCGATCGGTTTATTCCAGAAGCATGGTCATGGGCTGGAGGGCTACATTCGGGACATGCCGACAGTATATTGATTATCGTCGTCGGGATCAGGGTGCAGCAAAGCTGAGCTTGCTGAGTGAGAAAATGGCATCTTGGCTTTGGCGTCAACGGCCATGCGTCTTTGTTGCGTCTCCTGCAAACTTTGATAGTTTAATGCAGAGCGCCCAAAGACCTTCCTATCCGGGCGACCCAGCAACCTGCTATACTAGACTTAAAGGAGAGGTGATGTGCAGATCTCACCGCGCTTAACGCTCGCCTGTCTTGCCTGTGGAGCGGGATTTTAAGCTTCCCCCTGCTCGGGCAGATGCTAGCCACGATGGCCAAGCCTTGTCCACCTCTCGCTTGCCATGTAAGCAGGGAAGTCTGCTATAAACAGGTCCACCCCGCCTATTCGGAATCTGCAGCCCAACGAAATACATGCCTCGTTAAAACTGATTCAATTGGAATCATCCATAAATGGGTTGTTTATGTTGCATTCAAATCCCAAGCCAGCGGTCAGACTCGGCTGCCTGCACATGTTCTCGTGTGAGCTGTAATTCCTGCGGGATGTGCACCCGAGACCCTAGAGAACCCCTTCACACCTCGGCGCGTGGCCAAGTTTCTTGGCAAGCCATCATCAATCCATGACGACATGCATGCATTCATGTATGTAATAAGAGAACCGGAGCCGGCGCTGACAGTTGACCGTCTTGACCGTCTAATGCAAGAGTAAAATCTATTTTTCAAAATCCCACGAATCTTGTATCATGGCGGTGGAGGTCAGATGCTTTGTCATGGCAAAAATCTTGCTGCGTCCGATCAGCCGAGCCGACAAGCAGTAGACAATATTGGCACACCGCGCGCACTCGTCAAGAAATTACGAGGATCAGGAGCCACGACCCTGTCCAATACGGCGCCAATGTGTATGCAACAGGAAATTTCCAAAAGTATCCACGGTGCCAACGCACAGGAGCTGAGCAAAACAAAGTCGTGGACAAGTCGAGACGGGGGGACCTTTTTCTCATCATCTGCGCGGGATGTATTACTAAAGGTCAATCTATGCTGCAAGCCTACACGCGACCATTTATTATTGTTACCGTGCATCAGAGTCTGCATCGTGGGTTACATTGAAAGTAACGTCTCTGGTGACCTTGATCCCATTGTCCTTTAATATGTATCTCTGGCTTTCGGTATCCGACAGGCGATCCCATCCATTATCACCGACCTGTACCAGCGTCTTGGGCGCATTCGAGTTCTTGAATGTATTGAGTTTATAGGAGGCGCCGGCAGCGCCACTTGGCCCGCCAGTCCCGGGCGTGCGATTGCTGCTCGTATCGCCAAGGAATGGAATGTATTTCAGAAGCGGGCGAAGCGCCGGGGCAGATCCAGCAATAATTCCAATGCCAGATTCCACGACGGACCAAATGGCAATGTCAGCCACGCTATACAGGTAATTATCGGGGTCGCTATAATGCAAAAGATATCGCAGACGGACGAGCGTGGCAGAACTTGCTCTGCAAAGGGGCACGTCAGTAATCATGGCTTGGTGGCAAATGTGCCTTGATTTGGATACTCACATGACACCAACTCCGAGAACGATTGCCACAGACACTTTGACTTTGGGCTTTAATTGAACCTCCCATACTGTGAAAAAAGGCATTAGCATTCGAATGCTACAGGGACTGGCCAGACTCACGGATAAAGGCTGGCAAGATGGCACAGGTCCAGTCCGTCACAACTGAGCAGGCTGAAATAAAGTACGAGATATTCGTCACGATACTCGCATCTGCACACTTTCCCGTGGACGAGTCCCATGTCGCAGAGACTGGTTGGCACCACGTCAAGAGCGTAATGTCGGTGACTACGCAAGCGATGCTTGCTAAACCTATCACACCGTACAATATCCATCGATAGAGATTTCGGGTTGTAATTCGGAGGAGCGAAACGCATATGGCAGCCTTGATGGGCACAGTACTGAGCACATAAAACAGCTGGGCAAAGAGGAACCACTGCAGATTTGATTAGTTTCTGCATGTTCATACGAGTTGGCCCTCGGCCGAATGTAACGAACCTTTTTGCCCTGCATCAAATAGTAACTGTCGAGGTGCTCATTCTTGGTCCCAACGCCATTGAAAGAACCCACTATCGTCGAGATGCATGTGAGGATGAGGAATATCTATGGCCTTGTGAGACAATATTGTTTTCAGGCTAAATTCAGGCACACTCACCAGTCCCAGCAGCATGAGCCAGTCATCCAGCCCGATGCCTTTGATCCTCTTGCGAATGACAAGTCGCAAGACCACAGCAATACATGATAATGCTCCCAATATGACCGACACTAGAAAGAGGTCAAGCCCGGGTCCTGTCGGTGAAATGGTCATTTTTAGATTATACACAAGATGCAGGTGGAAAAATGGGCACCAACCAGCTCAGCAGCCTTGATCCATCGGGAGGACAGCCTCTTATGAGGTGTCGACAAGTTTTCAAGCGCCATTTGACTGCAAGACTCCTTTCTCAAAGATCCAGTACCTTGGAAGCTATTACTTTTGAAGATCCAAGTCTTGTGCAGTATAGGTATATCTTCCGTGATCCGCATTTTAGCACTGAACCATCTTGGAAACCCGGACCATGTTCAGCTGGAAAGATTAGACGGTGTCATTTTTCGTTGGCAAGATACAAACATGGGATTAATTTCCATCAGCTGGCACTGTTTTCACAAGGAAACCAGTCTTTATCCGGATGCTGTGCCTCAGCCGGTCTGCCTGATGCCGCCGGAATAGGTTACATGCCTGTGACCCATGGAGCGATATATTGTGCTTCACTCAAGCAATTAGCGTCAAGATGAGCACGCCTGTTGCCGTATTTCACTTGAAATCCGTTGAGCAGTCGATAGCTTGGAGCTGAAAAGAGCTTCTATATCGTTTCAACACTAGGCTGTCAATCTCAGCTTTGAGGCTGCCCAGATCCAGCTAGTGGTTGAACTCCACGATCGGCACTAATTTGAAACCCGGGGATCTTACCCGTTGCTCTTGTTCTTATCGTGTACGTCCGCGTCAGCAGGGTAGATGGATCTGCAAATGGCATTCTCGTTCCCCGTGTGACTTTGCCATGCAGCGATACGCCTCTTTCCTCGAGAGATTACAGGTGACATTTGAATCGACCGCTTCAAACTGTATTTCGTCGTAAACGACTTGAAAGTAGCACTAGAAGCATCCCCTTGATACCATTGAAGTTTATAGTACTTGTTCTCGTTCTAGTTCTCAATCATGAGCATGAATCTCATAGAAGCCAGGCGACCCCCGCATGAAGCGGACCCAAAGTACAACGCCACCACAACCCTTTATAAAGTCTTCAACAACATGAATTTGTAGCTGCGGCTCCGGGACCCGCAAGGTCGGAATAAATCACAGCAGCGCTCTAATACTAGGACCTTGCTAGTAGTTAGTCAGGAACCTATTCTGGAGAAGACAGGTGAACCAAGACACGAACTCACCTGGGCGGATATGCATGGGTGCCAGATCCAGCCAGTGGTTGGACAGAATTACAATTGCTCGGCCATGAATTTACATGATTGTGAAATGAGCCTTGCCTTGATAAGTCAGAGTGTGGCAGCTCATCCTTGCACCATTTGGTTCGTACGTTTTTGCCCTTGGTCTTTTGGTCATGTCCTCAAGATGGAAACTTCATGGGCATGTGACATGTGCGCCTGTCAGACACACAACTTGGAGCCTTGCCTGAAAGGATGAGAAGGATATAAACCTGGCCTTCTCATCGCAGCATCGCGGCCTGGACACTCGTTCACCGTGGAGATGGCTTTGCTCGTGGTTGCAGTTGCTTCGAGGGCCTCATTGCAAATCGTCTTGGTGCCTTGGTTGGTGCTCATGATCCTTGTAGCTCACTTGAGCATCAGATTGCAGTATAGACAGATGGACGTTTCTTTGCAACTACAACGCTTCGAGCACACCAAAGGACATCATGTATGCCAGCTTCCCGTAGTGCAACGGCACAAAATAGTCTGGCGGCCGGGAATGTTCCAGGAGGTATTACACAAGCACATGCCAGAGTATGCGGCCCGCGTCCAGAGCCGCCCAGTACGGCGTAATTGTGGTCATGTTTCATATCCGACCGGCGGGCAAATCGCCCATTAGCGGACCAAGCGAGCATCCTGCGGTCAAGCTAAAAGGTCGAGAAGCCGTAGCCAGGCCCGGTCGAGGCAGATGAGGCGAACATGACGAAGTTTCCCGATCTCTCCGAGACCCCGCGTCTTTACCGGCAGGCCCGGGAAGCCATGAAACTTAAGCACAATTCCAGAGGATACTCTAGTCTCTACCCAGGCAATCTTGCGCCTGTTGAAGAGAGTCTGCTTTAGTTGTATGGCATGGCAGAGACGCTGCATGGAAGAGCAAGGGTGGTGTAAGCCGGAGCAACAAGGATGACGACATAGGCACTTGCATACTTATGATATGCGAAGAGTGGATAGTACCAAGAACAATGAGGTGATATTTTGCGCAGGTGAATCTTGCGAATATAAGCGTTGTGCAGTATTTTCATGATTGAATTGGACCAAGTCGGTAGATCAGGTCAATAACGGTGCCGCTGTCCAAATAATCTGTGTAAAAGGGCTGCTATTGGCTTTGGTCACGTCTTGCTGATTTGATTTGACTGTAAAGTTGCTCGTTGGCTGTATTTGAAGAACAAGGCCCAACGTGGCCAAGCCGGCTGCGTGACCAGACATGAGATATGTGAAAGCAAGTTTCATGCTTGCATCGGGTCGTTTTGACTGCATTGCCCCAGTAGTGGTAAAGTTTCGTGCTTTATATGGGTATCTCAAACACCAGGAGCCACAAGGATGGCATAATCGCAGAATAAAGACTCCTGCCGACGGAAATTCTCGCTGCCGATTCATCCCATCCTCTGCTTCCTCCTGACCCATATCTCCCGCTCTTCATCATCCGCGGGCGCTCCTGCGACGGGCCGAGCCTGAACTTCCCACAGCTTTAACCGATAAGTCCCTCGGTCTCCCTGGCCCGAGAAGAGATCAAAAGACCAGCCATGCTTTGGGCAGGAGATGCCTGCACTCAATGCAATACCAAAATCCTCAATGTCAAAAGGAGAGCCATTGGACAAGGGAAACGAAGAATGGGGACATTGCTGGAAACCATGAGCGAACAATTCAATACCCCTTACGTGGATAACTCACATTGTTGATGGCGTGAAACTTGCCCTTGTACTGAAAAACGAGAACTTGGTCTTTTAGATCGCGTGCTGTGAATGCTGCTTCTTCCACATCGGACGAGGCCACCTGGGCCGCAAGCGAGCTGTCGTCCTTTGGCACCTGAAATACCTTGCACCCAGGCGCCTCCCCTTGGCCGCAAGGCCGAGTATCGGCCACAATTTCGCTGCCGGACTCTGTGATGTTGGGAAAGGAAGACGCCAGGCCAACAGAGAACCAAGCGTCGCCACGGCGGTTTGGCGCTACAAAGGCGGCAAACATGTTAAATTTGCCCGAGAAACCGAGAAAGCAGAGTCTCGCATGGCGGCCAACCCGCTACTTCCAGTAATGTCGTCTCGGCCGCGGAAATAAAATGACTTTTGACACGGGCTTATCGACGAGTTGTTATCGCTAGACGCCGTCGTGTAGTGGGGCGTTGAGCCAGCTACGGGAAACCAAGATCAATACATGCCTTGGCCATCATTTTCAACGGAAGTTCGGCAGAGGTACGCTTATTATTCCGTTATTGGAAATAGATTTTGATATTGTGCGCAATTCAAATCTAGTTTTTTCATTCTACCTGATTGTGTTCTTTTGTGTCCTTGCTCTCCATCATGAACCTTTTTTCCATTTTGGTCCATCTGAAGTGACCCAAGGATATAACATGTTTATTGTAAAATGTTACACAAGCTTCGGATTCATTTCCAAGTCCATTGACCATGCGGAAGACTACATTGCTGGGCATACAATCGCGAAAAGGGTCAGGCTTACATTCCATCCATACTCTGGCCGCGCATGTACTGGATCCGGGAGAATATGCCCCAGCCAATACACTGCAAAGAGCAAATATAACCCATTGGTACATTCTGGACCCTCGCCCAACGATTCATGCTTAGAGCTGCCGACTGGCTAGAGTCCAGACTTTACCGCAAAGGAATTGTCAGGTCCTTTCGTACAAGAGTCTTTACAAAGGACGAGGGAGCACAGCCAAACAAAATCATTGCTCATATGTATACAATTCATCTTACAGACCGGTTCGTGGGCTCATGGCGGTAGCCACGGGCTCAAGGATTAGACATGATACACCCGCCGGCTAGTACAATGCCGCCAGTGATTTGGTTCTCTACCATCCTTGTCGTCTGAGCTCCTCCACACGCGCACATGTCGACCGGAATGCCTTCTTGAACCTCTTCCTCCACCGCTCAGACTTGAGTCTCTTTCTCTTCAAACCGGGACGTTCGTGGTACCTTTGTAGCCTCTCATCCTGCCTGACCCTGTTGGAAGCGACTTGCATGCCCAGCATCCTGAACGCCCTAGAAGCATCGTATCCCTTGCCAATCTGAATTGTGCGGCCAGTCCGCGCAACACAGCGAATGCTGGGGTACTTGGCGGTAATTTGTGACCTGTCCTCGGACCAGTATTTGCTGTTTGACAAGTCTCCCAGACCAAACGAAACGTCCTTTACCATGTCCTCGTTGTCAATTGTAGGCTCGGGCTTGGTGGTGTCGGGGTCTGGCAGTTCAGGTTTGGCAGAGCGGAATGCTTGCGGCGAAATAGTGGTCTTGGGCTTGGCAATGTTTGATTCATCGCCATAATTTGCTCTGCCTGATCGAGGTGCTGTCCAGGCTGATGCATAACGCATCTGGGCGCCGCCCAAGCCAAGGCTCTGGAATGAAGACACGAGACTCGCCGATGCCGTGTTCTTGCATCTCGAGGGGACGGGAATGAAAGGTTGTGGCGCTCTCTTCAATGTTGCTCTCGTGGAACGGACTGCCGCATTGGCGACACGGCCCAACTCGGTCGCCCTAGACAGTCAGTCAGTTCCTAAACGGGGCGCAAAGATCAGAGTAACTCACATGTTTAAAATCCAAGTGTTGCGACACGTCAATCGCGGACCGGGGCGATTCGCAAGGTACCGTACTCGAAGCGCATTGCTGGAGCTTCCCGGATCGAAACTTGGGAATTTCGTCGGCAGAGGAGATTCTTGACTCCGTGGTCCACTTTTAGCGCAGCTTGCTGCCCCGCGAGCCAATGATTGTGCCTAGCGCCTAAACTTGCTTTGACAAGCGCGTTGCCTGGGATCCTCAACTTGGCTTGCCGATAAACGTCAAAAAGTTGACGGGTGGTTTTGATTGCGCTTTTGGGCATTGTTTGCCATTTCGACAGGCCGACATATTGCTCATTGCCTCGACACTACACACTTGACTTGGTCTATTACTAGACTACTCATCTTTGACAAGGACGACGGAGCATCGATCGGGGATACGCGCAACGACGAGCCTGGAGAGCTTCCCACTTTGCTCGATATTGGCCTTTCAGCATGTCCTACAACCCCTATGGCGGAGGTGAGTGCTTGCGATACGCATTCCTTTTTCAGAAAGAAACTGACTCTAGTTTGTGCAGTGCCTGGCTTTGGGCCTCCGCCAGGTTATAATTCATATCCTGGCGCCACTGGCCCACCCCCAGGCATGTCCACACCACCAGGTCTAGGTAAGCCACAGTCCCAAGATGCGATTCGGTCGACATTCTATACTAATGATATTGGTACAGGACCTCCCCCAGGCATGTCTGCCCCCGGAATGGCACCCCCCGGTGTCCAGCAGCCGATTCTCAATCAAGCTAATCGACCTAGCGGCTTGCCCTCAAACTTTCAAGCTCCCCCAAACATGCCCAATATCAACTTCAATGCCCCCGTGATTAGGCTTGGAACTCTTCCCTCGAAGCCTTCGACACCAGGTGTGCCTGGCCGCAGAGAGCATGACGCGCCCCAGTCTGCGGGCCCGCGCTCGGGGCTGGGCATGGATCGCGGCATCGACCAGACTCGCCAAGCTGTGCGTGAGAGCATGCAGGCCCTCGTGCCGCCCACAAAGGAGGAAATTGTACGCACCATATTCGTACAGGGCATCACCGACGGCATTCGCGGCAACGACGGCATTGAGGAGATTTTCAAGATTGTTGGCAATCTGCGCAAATGGGAGAGAGCAAGCGATGCGGCCGGCAAGGAACTGCCTTTTGGCTTTGCTCAATTTGAGGACGCCGAATCATTGTGGGTAGCCTCGGAACTTTTAAAGGAGATACAAATACCCACCAAGAAACAGGCGCCCACAGAAGCTCCCGAAGACGCAGACGATTCCTACGAGGACTTTGCCAAGTCCAAGCTTCAGTTCAAGCTGGACGAAAACACTAGAAACTACCTCGAGTCGTACGTAGAGGGGCGAACAAATGAGTCCGAGGCAGATGCCAGACTATCTGCGGCTATAGGTGCGTTGAAGCAGACTGTCCGCAATTTCTTCTACCCTCCCTTGAAATCAGGAGCAGACGCGGATGGAGATGTGGCCATGGGCAACAGCGGCCAGACTGGCGAAAATGTCGAAGTGGTGAATATTCCCTTGGCCCAAGACGACGAGCTCGCAGATATTCCCGCCGAGATGCGCGAAACGGTCGCAGCAGAAATTGCGGCTTTCCGGGAACGCAGCATCAAGCGTGACCTGGAAAGACTCAAGAGAGAGGAGGAACTCGAGGCCATGGAGCGGCAACGCGCTGCGGGCAATCGACCGTCGAGACTTGCTTCTCCACCGCTCGGAGCTGGATCCAGTTCAAACAACACACCACTGGGACCGAGAGGTGTCCCCAATGCTCCCTCTGGACCCAAAGGGCAAAAGACGGATCTTGGTAAAGATTACAATCGATCCATCAATTTTGTCAATGGTGGTATAACAAACGGTGGACTTGTTCCAAACCGCGAAGACGAGGACAGCGATGCCAGCGACGAAGAGCTCGAGCGTCGACGTGTGGCCAAGCAAGAGGCCGAAGCCGAGAAACTCTACCTGGATGCCGAGCGGCGTTGGCTAAACCGGGAACGGACCCGGGCGGCGGCTCTAGAGCGAGAGCGCGAGCGTGACGAAACAGACGAGGCCGATGTTGCCAAGAGGCGGGAGTCGATGCTGGAGCGCTTGAAGCACTTTGACGACGATGCCGAGGCTTCAAGGAAAAAGGAAGAATATTACGCAGACCGCAGCGCCTGGATCCGTAATCGAACTGCCTTTCGTGCTAGAGAGATTGCGGCCGACGATGCCGACCGAGCGGCAGAGGAACAGGAACGCATTGCCGAGGATGCTGAGCGCGAACAAGCCAGAGGCATGGCAGACTCCTTCCTCAATGAACAGGCACGCGAAATGGAGCAAAGGCATACTGGCAGACCGGGAGGTGCTGCGCCTCAGCCGTTCAAGCTCTCTCTTGGTGCAGCAGCCCAGCGCGCACAAGCCCAGCGCGCAGCCCCTCAACGCAAGACCGTTGCCGAAGTGGAAGGTCTTCTCGAGGACGAGGAAGAGGACAACAAGAAGCGTACAATTGTTCCCATCAAGTTTGACCCGGCTGATGCTGCTGGCATGTCCAATGAAGATCGGGAACAGGCCGTGCGCTCGCTTGCCCAAGAAATTCCCAATGAAAAGGAGGGTCTGTGGCAATGGGACATCAAATGGGACTTTTTGGACGAAGGTGTTATCCGCGACAAGTTGAGACCTTTTGTAGAAAAGAAGTTGGTCGAGTACTTGGGCGTGCAAGAGGAGCTGCTTATTGAAGTGGTGGAGGAGCACCTTAGAAAGCATGGACAGCCTGCAGAGCTGGTCGAGACCCTGGCAGAGGTATGTCACACTTGTTCGAGATTGCCCGCTTTTACTAACAATAATCACAGGCACTGGACGATGAAGCAGAGGCACTGGTCAAGAAGTTATGGCGAATGGTCATCTTTTATACAGAGAGCGAAAAAAGGGGACTTTCGGCATAGTTTTTTCTTTGCACAAGCCATTGTCCATTGATGGTGTGTATATAAGTTTTTGCAAGTCTGGGGGTCTCAGGGGGTTGCCAGTTCAGATGACTGGTTATGGTGTTTGGCGCCTGAAAATTGGAATCCAGCATTTGAGTCCTGTCCGAGTCTAATGAAGCTACGGAATGAATCGTATCATGTTGCTCACTGTGACCAATATATCTTTCCACCTGATCTGATATGCCGTTCTGAGGCTTGTAATACGTAGTAGGTGTATAAGAACCGACTCTTTTGGTTAGATGGTCCCATAGATAACCGTGCCGTGATTTGCGGAGTAGCTTCTCCGACTTTCTGGGGTACGACTCCGTGCCGAGGCTGGTAAGCTGGGCGCCCCACGTATTCTGGGCACTTGCTGCAACATAACAACATTCTTCTTTCAATCCTCAATTTACGTGGCCGGAAGTTGTATGTTTTTTGTCCCTTGATTGCATTTTGTCTGTGACACTGGAAAGCAAGGTACTGCTCGCTTCGAACAATACACAGTACTGTATCCTATATTGAATGTACTGGTTGAGCAAAGACATTGTTCAAACGTTGAGCTACTACCATCGTAAACAAGCCTTGGTTCAGAACTAGACATCATGGCAGCCAAGGGATCATATCCGTCATTCGCTTCTGCGCCTCCCGAGGTGCCACACACCGACGTCTCCTTCCCTACAGACTATCCTCACGTCATGCTCGTGACGCTCAACCGCGCCGATGCGCTCAATGCCATTCCGCGCCCTCAGCACTATGCCCTAGAGCGTTTGTGGGATTGGTTCGATGATGAGCCAAGTTTGCGCGTCGCTATCATCACTGGAACTGGGCGTGCCTTCTCTGCTGGGGCTGATTTGAAGGAGTGGGACAACATCAACAGCGATGACAATGGGCAAGTCCCGTCTGCCCCCAGCAACCGAAGAGACAGGCCATCAGGGCGTTTCCCCCGAGGCGGCTTTGGCGGCATGTCGAACCGAGGGGGACTCAAGCCCATCATTGCGGCTGTAAATGGTATATGCTTTGGCGGTGGTATGGAAATGGCCATCAACTGCGACATGATTGTGGCATCGTCGGACGCGGCCTTTTCATTGCCCGAAGTCACCATTGGTGTCATTGCCCTCGCTGGTGCCCTCCCGCGCATCATCCGCACTGTTGGCCGTCAGCGTGCGAGCGAAATGGCCCTAACTGGAAAACGCTACACGGCCCAAGAGATGAAGGAATGGGGATTGGTCAACGAGGTTGTGCCAAAGGGCAATATCGACGGAGGGGCCAAGAGGACATTGGTACTCGAAAAGTCCTTGGAATGGGCTAGCAAAATCGCCGCGAATAGCCCAGATGCTGTTATTGTAAGTCGAGAGGGTCTGAAGCTTGGATGGGAGGGTATCGATGCGGAAAAGGGCACCGAGACGCTTCTAAGGGGTTGGTATAGCAAGATTGAAAAGGGCGACAATATGAAGGAAGGAGTCAAGAGCTTTGTAGAGAGAAGGAAGCCAAAGTGGGTGGATAGTAAGCTGTGATTTGTATATTGCAAGACATTGATCAAGGAGATGAGGTCATGGATCCATTGATATGCAACGGAATCTGATGGAGGAGAAGAACAAGAGGCTTGACACGACCGATAGTCTGGAAGCACCTTATGTTGGGTGCATTCGATTTGTGTGAGCTTCTTCATCCCACCAGATCTTGGTGCATCAAGTGCATTTAATCAAGGACGTCCGCCAAATCAAGCTTGACTAAGAACAGAACTGGATGCTTGGTTTAGATATATATGACTTTAGCTATCTACTTCTTATTGCGATGCAATCCGGATTGCTCGCGTTTTGCTGTTTTGTTGTTGCGGTGCTATTGCCGCTGGTCAGCACGCTGACAAGTGACCAGGGAATCCAGCGAAAAACGATGTACTAGCCAAACAGGCCAGAGATCCGGCTATGAAGCAATTCAAGACGCCAAGAATATGAAAGCAGCCAAGTCAATTGGCGAACTTCCAATGCCGGCTTTCTGACGCGATCGCACCATGGGGCAGTGCAATCAACGCAAGGTGCATTTCTGCAAATGGAAAATCCATATTTCGCGACAGACGTCCTTGCAGGTCGGGTCCCAGAATAAAAAAACACGTGGACCTGGCAAATGTTGTACAGCCCCGCTGCATAACGCACCGAGTCTGACAGGCATTTCAAAACTGTTGAGGCACCAACTAGATTTTCTTAATCTTTTCTCTGTAGCGATTACCGAATCTTTCAATATTGTGGAAAAGCATTCAAAGGTCTTCAATACGACATCACTATCCTGAGACGCCCCGCTTTCCAGCAATCATGGAGGAAGCATACTCTTACACAGCCCTTCCAACTCCAGGGCATATACGTCTGCTTACCCTCAAAGCCAGCAAGTCCTCATCCGCTGATTTGCATGGCGAGCTTGTCGACTACCCTTTGCAGGAATGCGAGGGGGATTTGCATTGCTACGAGGCTCTATCCTATGTATGGGGCAGCAACGAAAAGCCTCGGCAGCTCTGGATAGGAAACTGCAAGCTCGATATTACAGAGAGCCTCTATGCTGCGTTGCTGCGCTTGCGTAACCGTTCTGCTGATCGAAGTCTGTGGGTAGATGCAATTTGTATCAATCAGACAGACGACGACGAGAAAGCGATTCAAGTCCAGCGCATGGCAGCCGTCTACAGCAAAGCGAGTCGCGTACGAGTCTGGCTTGGCGAGGCAGACGCCGCTGATGGATCAAATGATGCACTGTATTGTTTGGCCGAAGCTGGAGCTGCTGAAGGTCCCTATGAGTTACCCGATGAATCCTTGGAGCCTATACGTAGCCTCCTTGCGAGAGACTGGTTCAAGCGAGTTTGGGTAAGTTTTGATATTTATACCAACATTCAAATGCTAATTTATTGATTCCAGGTAATTCAGGAAGTTGCTGCTGCCCAGCACGTGGTTATCATGTGTGGTGCCACAAGCATTGATGGGTACGCGTTCTGTGTAGGATTGCAGGCGTTGCATAAATCTGATAAACTTCCGGATTTGCAAGAACACATTGGTTCAATCGTCTATCTCATTAGACGTTCAATTTTCCGTCTAGGAAAGCAAAACCATCAAGCATCACAAGAAGAGTCTCCGACGTTCTCTCTGAACATCCGGCCTCTAGGACAGTTGATTGATATGTACCGGAACCGCCAAGCTACCGACCAGCGCGACAAGGTTTATGCCCTCCTTGGTATGTCCTCGGAAGTTATACCCCAGGACTTAATGCCGAACTATTCAGATGCCATGACCTGGGATGCACTGTTCAGCAGTTTAGGTCGGTATATATTTGGGACGGAAGCCCATGTTGGAGTCGTTGCTACCAACATTGCGGCAGTCAGAATCAAATGCGAAATTCTAGGCCATGTTTCCTCTCTTCGACCAGATGAGCATCGCTACGATATGCAGGTACTTACGATCGCATCTTGGAGCACGGACATGCACGCGTATGACCAAAGGGAATGGATAGCCCCAACCTCGGCAGTCTCAGTGAATGTTGGAGACATGGTCTGTCTCTTGGACTGGGGGCAGAATATTGCCATCTTGAGGTCCGAAACCGAATTCTTCCGTGTGGTCATGACTTCTGGACGTTGGAATGCCAAATCTGCACAGTACGACGAAGTTCTGGAGAAGGGCGACAAGCATGAATTATTGCTTGCATGGGATTGGAATTCACCAGAGCAGATTATGCCTCGATTTATCGATACTATTCCCGCGAAAAGTATAATAACACAACATACGAATGGCATTACAAGACGTCAAATAGTCGTCAATGCCCTCCTGAGCGCATATTCGGATATACAGGCAGAATCAAGCCTGCTTGATTTGGAACAAGAATACCAACAACAATCGAGCGAGTCTATGTTTGCAGAATTGGATCGCCGAGCGAAGATGGTTTACTTATATCTGAGGACCGGTCGTTTGGATGAAGCCGAAAGGCGGTATAAAGATATCTACCAACATGCCAAGGCGATGGCCCGGACGGAGTGGCTAAGCCAAAGTATATCGCAGTATTTGAAATTCTTTCCAACTGCTGCCTACCCTCAGAAGGCAAGGATATGGGGAACTCTCAAATCTGTCATAGACGAAAACGTGGTTACTCCACAACATTACATCCAAACCCATCGGAGGCTGACTGATACTCTTGCGAAGTGCACCGCAGCGGAGGCAAGCTTATTGATCGATCTCGGAGAACTCTTTATACGTAATCCGGAAACAACATCCATGGTTTGCACACGAGATAACAGCTCCTATGTTTCAGAGGATATCATAAAAGCACTTGAAGAGAGCGTGGTAGAAGCGATTGCGGGGAATTCTGCTTTTGGTGCTCAAGAAGGACGGAGGGTGATGGAGCTGCTTTTGGAAAGAAAAGGGGACCAGGTCCCGATTACAGAAGCTGTAGTCATAAAGGCTGCTAGTACTTATTACCAACTGGGGTTATTGGAGCTGCTATTCGAAAAGAGAGGAGACCAGGTCCCGATTACAGAGAACGTGGTGAAGGCGGCTGCTAGGAATCTTTTGCATGGTCCGAAGGCGATGGGGCTGCTTTTTAAGGAGAGAGGGGACCAGGTCCCGATTACAGAGGA